CGCTCCTTTATGCTAATTGATAATCCACTAAGTTTTTTTGAAATATTTTAGGTGCGATCGCGTTACATCAAGTTTATTTTCAATTTTTGTTCAACCGTTCGACGAACACATTAAACGTATTCATGTAACAGACGCCGAGTTCATTTAAAATTAGTTTCATCTTCAAACCGACATGTTTATATTTAATAAGAACGATCGTTGTTCATGCTGATTAAATACTGCGCTTCCTGGAAATAGATCTACCGAGATCGTTCGACGCGAAACAAATTGCCATTGCGCTATTTACGTCAGAATTAAAAAAACAGTACAGACAAAAAAATACTAAATGGGGAAACTTGTGAGATATATTATCGAGTATGTTATCAAACAATGAAGAATCAACAATAGTTCTAGATCTATAATTTACAATTTTTGGAGTTTTAACTCCTTTCTTTTCGTATACGTATACAACACGTATACGACGCGCGTCGGAATAGGATGTCGAATTCGAACTACGAGCTCGGTGTCGGTGTCCTCGACACCGACACCGGTCTGAACTGAGTCTGAACATAGGCATGAAACTCCGCACTATATAAAGAGAGAGAGAAATAAACTATTTGATAAAATGTGTTCGTTTGACTGTTGCAACGACTAAATTAGATACAACAATTGATTGACGCTTTATTACTCATTTAAGAACTGATGTTTATATCACACATTTTAGTCACCATAGGCCACTAATAACTGTATTAAATGACAGGGATAAAGATACCGAAGGCGATAACGCTATGATTGAACAGTAATTTGTATTTTAAATCGAATAAGTTATAAAAATGCTCTAGCAAATATTTAATTGGAAAATGCAATTTCCCTACAGAAATGTACCATTTTAAACATGTTTTAAGTTATTGTCGCGAAAATATGGCTACGTAGATTAAGAAACAAAAGAAAATGTAAGCCCCGCCCACCCACCCCATCTCGATTGTAATGATTTTTTTAATACTTAAAACCTGTTTTCGTGAAAAATTCATCACAAATGAGATCAGGACGGGTGAGTGGAGCTTTATTTTTGCTTTTTTTCGGTTTCTTTCAATACCATACTTAAAAACATGTTTCAGACGGTAAGTTCTAGCAGACAAATAAGGATTTTGCTATTAAACTCCGCCCCCGTGCTCACAACGAATAAAATCATTACAGTTGGTATGATGGTGGGTAGGCGGAGCTTAATTTTACACTTTTTCTGGATATACGCAACAATCACAAGATATATTTAAAGTGGTAATTATATTCTTCTCTCGAGTGGGAATGGGAATGGAAACTAATAATTACGAGAATCTAGGATGTGAAAAAAGTAAGCCGAAAATCACTTCTGAATATTGAAATCTAGAAGAAAATGTATTCAACAAATTTTTAAAAATAGTTGAAAAATGGTCGAAAATGTTAAAAGCGCCAAAATCAGTCTTGTCTTATCAAATACTAGCCCCGCCCACCCACCCTCTATTTTCTTGTAGGATATGTCATTTGCCAAAAGCTGTCTTATCTTAGCAAATATTAGCCCCACCCGCCTACCCCTTCTTCTCATTCTAAAGACTAATTTTATTTCTGTTCAGTATAAGATCATTCCGCTCACTCAGTGCGGATAAAACCAACGCCGAAAAGGAGGCCGGGTGGGTGGGCGGGGCTAATTATCTTTTTCTGTCGAGTGAGAGTGAAAACTAATAGAACTTAGGATGTGAAAAAAGTAAAAAAGCGCTAATCGTAACCTTTTTTTAGTCGAATATGTCAAAAGTGTCATAATCAGTTTTATCTTATCAAATACTAGCCCCACCCACCCACCCTCTATTTTTTGAAAGGTATGTGATTTGCCAAAATCTGTCTTATCTTAGCAAATATTAGCCCCTCCCAACCACCCCCTCTTCTCATCCTAACGACTAATTTTATTTCTGTTAAGTAGAAGATCATTCCACCCACTCAGAGCGGATAAAACCAATCACCGAAATGGAGGCCGGGTGGGTGGGCGGGGCTAATTATCATTTTCTGTCGAGTGAGAGTGCAAACTAATAGAATCTAGGAAATGAAAAAAGTAAAAAAAGTGCTAATTGTAACTTTTTTTCTCGAATACATATATCAAAAGTGCCAAAATCAGTTTTATCTCATCAAATATTAGCCCCACCCACCCACCCTCTGTTTTTTTGGAAAGTATGTCATCTCAATTGTAATGATTTTTTTAATACTTCAAACATGTTTTCGTGAAAAATTCATCACTAATGAGATCAGGACTGGTGAGTGGAGCTTTATTTTTGATTTTTTTTTATTATATACCGGTTTCTTTCAACACCATACTTAAAAACATATTTCAAACGGTAAGTTCTTGCAGACAAATAAGGGTTTTGTTATTAAACTCCGCCCCCGTACTCACAACGAATAACATCATTACAATTGATATAATGGTGGGTAGGCGGAGCTTAATTTTACATATTTTCTGGATATACGCAATAATCTTTTGACAAGATATTTAGAACGTTTAAAAAGGTAAATTTTCGTCGGGAAACACAGATTTTACAATTAAACTCTGCCTCTTGTATTTTTCCTTTTTTTTCTTAATATATGTACGTAGTTTTCTTTTCATAAGTATAAATTTTGTGGAGAACTGTGGGGGATAAAATTTACAATTTTAATCATGTTTTCAGTTTCTTGTTGTGAAAAGAAGACTATGTAGATCAATGAATGAAAAAAAAATGGAAAACATAAGCAAAATGTTTTTTCATAATTTTGATTTTTTTTCCAAAAATTTTGACGTTTCGAGTAAATACTCAACACGGAGTCATAAACTACATGTGTAGGACTATGTTATTTTATACAATTTAAAACCCAGTGTAAGAAACAGTGACACTCTGTAAATGTGCTTTGACATCCTATAAATTAGTAGTTTGTCTACCATATCTATATTATGAAAACACACTTGTTTATATTTAGTCTGGCGCGGACTGCACTTCTCCATGATAACCTGGGTTTTAGTCATTTTCTCGTTTAGAAATACATATTCTGATCAATATTATTTCAGCAAGAACACGTATGTCAGAATAACACCACTACAGTTGGTATGATGGTGGGTAGGTGGAGCTTAATTTTACACTTTTTCTGGATATACGCAATAATCACGACAAGATATATTTAAAGTGGTAAATTTTTGCCGGGAAACACCGATTTTACAATTAAACTCTGCCTCTCGGTGTGACAACGAATGAAAAATTCATCACTTTTGAGGTTGGGGCGGGTGGGCGTTACTTAATTTTGCCTTTTTTTGTCTTACACAGCTTTCTTTTTACAAGAAAATGAAAACTTGTTTAAAAGTGTAAATTTGTAGAGAACTGTAGGGGAAAAATTTACAATTTTGATTTTTTTCCAAAAATCTGGACGTAATCTGGACTCAACATGGCAACATAAACTACATGTATCCGTGCGTCCCTGGGTCGACACACTCTTTTTTTTTTAATTATGTGTAGGAGTAAACTTGCTATAACAATTTTCATTTTTCAAAACTAGTTTATGAAAGACCTGTTTACGTTCCGCGATATAATAAAGATTAAATTCGTAATAAACATGAATGGTTTATAAACTACGTTAAATAAACAAGTTATAAACCTTTGTGCGACATATGTTCCGTGCTGAGGAATTACTTTCATAATAGATTAGGAAGATGTTAACAAAATAACGCATAAAACGTAATAAAAACGTACTTAGTTTTTGTAGTCGGTGGTGACAAAGCTGTACTGATGAGACTCAAGAGATTTTTAGCATTATTGAACACAATCATACATGAAAAAATTGTTACGTTTGCATTAGTGACTATCGCAGTTCGTTGAAACATACGCTTCAAAATATTTAAAATGTGTATATGTTAACTATAATGCAACTTTTTAGTTCGAACAATACCTGAAAAACTGTTAGCTTTGTATTATAGTGAAAATACAAATAACGCGTCAATGAAGAATAAACAAAATAACTAGAATACCTAAATTGGGTATTTTATCACCCCTTATTGGCCAATTATACAAAGTACACACGTACACGATTTAATGAGACTTTTTTAGCAATTCTCCGTTTGAATAAAATGACGCCAGGTCTTGAACTGTGACTTTAGCCCTAAAGCAAAGTGAACGTCGTTAATTAGTGCTATTATAGTATCTCGTAACCGAGTTTCGTGTTATTATAGAATGAATATGCCCTTAATGAGTTCATTTGCATCAAAATTTAAAAAAGGAAAAAAACTTGACATGTGCGGTAGCTGTTCTAAACGTTTCAATTATAAAGCTGAGATTTCACGTTTACCCCAAATTTGGGTAATCGAACGCGGGGTAATACGTTGCAAGTACGTAATTATAATTGTTTACAAACAGTATATTAAATTTCCAAATAACGCTTGCATGTTGTTTAAATCGGCGGTTATATAATAAGTTGTGCAAGATTTTTTTGCTCATGATGCTATTAAAACATTCGGTGCGTGTTTCGTATGCACCGCGTGTTACTCGATATTATTTAAATGGATTCGTTTCAGTTATAAATGTCGAATTTTTAGAACAATGACAAGCATCATTTTGTCATTCATAGCATGGTGGGTAAAGCAATAAAAACCGTAAGCCCGTAAAAAGTACGTAAAAAATGTTGGCGCTAATCGTCGGCATGTCGTATTTGTGTTGTTTTCCAAAGCCGCCGGGAATTCTTAAATAACTAATCAAAAATCGTGTATCGTGTAGTGGAATTAAAGGCCGCGAACGGCATGTTTTAATCTGTATTTGCAGCAGCATTTAAGAACGAGCGACAGCGTCGAGGCTATTTAAAGGTTATGTATCAGATTTTTGTGTGGCACGCAGGTAGCATAACATAACAGGTAAATAATAGGATCAGGTGATGTGACGTGAGTGCGCCAAGCCGCCTAGACCCCGGTTACTAGTACTAGTTAGCCCCGAAACCGCGGCTTGCCCTCGACCCTCGGCCGGGAAGGGCCCAGCACTACTTACCCTCGTTCAACTCCGATTTTCCCCAAGAAGCACCGACCAGACAACACAAAATCAGGCTGCATACAATTCGAGCATCGCATATTCGCGGCAGCATTTTCGCAATGGCCTCGCACGTGCTTTACGACATAACCAATTTTTCTGAGCACCGACTATGCTTATTTCTGAGCAGACGAACGTCTGCTGTGTACGAGGCCCACCTTCGACGACTGGCGTGCTGTGAGACTGCGCAACACCGCCCTTGCTTGAAATGCTCAGCGCTTACAATTCAAAGGTGTTTTGTCCTAACTCCAACCCCACCATCGATGCGCAATAATCGGCGATTTTTTGATTTTTTCACCGAAAATGCCGATAGTGCACTCGCTGCGCTCGCACATCTCCACTTATTAATTACTCATCGATTGAGAGTTAGCCCGAAGCGAGTGGCGTGAGTTTTTTTATTCGGCAATTGGTAATGCGAAAATCGGACGATTCGTTTCGACGAATTTTTATAACACGTAAGCGATTTACAATGCAAATATACCGCGCGACCAATAGCCAGGTGACAAAACGAGAAACTTGGCGGAATATTATTCCAATGTAACTCGGGTTTTGCCACTCAAAGAATTTATCTCGTGAGTGCATTATACACTGATCGTTGATTTCGCGGACGCTTTTTCAAGATGCAAAATCGTTCGCCGTTTATTCGATCTATTGTTGTCTGGTGAATTGAAAAGATTACGTTCTATCTTCCCTCTTTTTCTACCGCCCTGTTTCCTATTCGCCGCATACGTTCTACGTACACGTTGTTGATAGACAAAAGATTAGCTCTTCAAAACTTAAATCTACCCTACGGGGAAAATAAACACAAAATCTATTTACGTATTTCTCTCGTTTTATTTAACGCGGACAATTCTTACCGTTCTAAAATAGGTACATTAACCGTTCAAATCTTCGTGCATATTTACTTAATTGAAAACCGCTGGGAAAACTCGTCAACGGAACGTCGTTAGATAGCAGTCATCAAGTCGTTCCCGGTACTGCCACATGACAGCGGTTGAAGGGATCTGCTAATTCTACAACTTTCACTAACCGATTGTCATCCAAATTACTGAACTAAATCGGTTAACGGTTATATATACAATAAATAATGAAACGAATTCTATATGTGGAAAAAAGTAGATCAAAAATTCACCACTGATACGTACTAATAACAACAATATATATGTTGCCAAAATACAATAAACTACATCTGGCACGTCAAATAAATATTGAAGTGATCTCTTCCGACACGGCATTTTACGCATCTGTAATAAAATTAATAAACCGTTTTTTCATTCGTGTTGCAATGATTGGATCTAATGATCCTTTTGGATTACAAATGCCATAATCAGTCTTATCTTATCAAGTATTAGCCCCGCCCACCCACCCTCTATTTTCTTAAAGGGTATGTGATGCGCAAAGTCAGTCTTATCGTAACAAGTACTGGCCGCACCCAACCGCCCTTCATTTTCTTAGAGGGTGTGTCATTCGCCAACATCAGTCTTATCTTAAGCGAAGAAAAATATTGCTGCCTCGGTGGGAATCGAACCACACGTCACCCGCTTGCCGGGCACGTATGTTATTGTGCCGCCACAGTACTCCCCCCGCACGGTCGTGCTAGGGTGCGAAGGCGGGCACAGAGCGGTAGCAGAAGGATGTTGCGTGCGTGCGTGCTCTGTCGGTGGTCACCACTGAAGGTAAGCGGTAGGAATAGAACCACACGTCGCCCGCTTGCCGGGCAGGTATCCAGACCACTAGACAACGAGGCCGCTTATCTTTCTCCGCTTACCAAAGTGTTATTGTGTGTAAGTGTATCTCCGCTTGAAGTTATTTCTTCCCCTTCTGAAGTTTTTAAGTTTCTTCAAAACGGGAATCATACCAAACTCGCTATTTTTGTGTTTGATTTTTGGATTTCTTGTCCCTGTTGTCGTTTTCTCAGCCCATTCATTCCAAGACTTGGTTCGGTTCGTTATTTTTAGGTTTTACGGTAATGGGTAATTGTCCCATTGACCAACCCCCAACCTGGAGGACCAGTGTATCCATCTTAGTCTGGCGTTTCAACAGAGGTCTGTCCGGGTTGGTAACCCTACGAGTAGTTAGGGTACCGCCGACATGGTTCTCCGTATCATTAACGCACGCAAGCCCCACCACCCGCTTTTACAAGCTACTACAAGGTGTGGATACGTCGGTGGGGGTAGTACAACATAATGTAGTAGTAATAGATTACTAACACATTCATGTTCATAGAATTACGTAAATTGGTTATTTACGTATGCCGTTTACTAGTTACAAGTTAGACGCTTGTCAATTTCAACACCTAGGACTTTGATTTTTGCAGTTGTAGCCTTCACTTGACCTTGTTTTTGATTAAATTGCTTCCTGCTGTTGCGATTTGATACATATTTTTGCCAGTGATTGAGCAAGAAGTATCATCAACGTATATCGAGCACAGGTGGACAGAGAATCTACCAGATCGTTAACACAAATGATAAACAAAAGAGGCCCCAACGTAGAGCATTGAGAAACACCCGATTCACGCCTACCCGTTGGCTTCTGTTACTTAAATGTGATTTTATGCGTTCTAAAGATATGCATCTGATATCATATCATAGTTTGCGTAGTATAAATTTTCAAAAACCAGTGGCATATGTGGTGACGGTAGAAGGCAATCTAATCAAGAGGAAAACGAAGTGTTAGGCAATACTTGACTTTTCGAATCTAACAAATGTAAGATAAGTCAGCTCTTTAAAGTGAGTGCTGATTAACCTTAACTGCCTACATCAAAACTATGGCACTTAACTTTCAAGATCTTAAGATTTAGTACTCAGGTATACAACATATTAACCAGGAGCACCAAGAGTTTTCAAAAGACAATCAAGTTCCTGTTGACAAAACCATTTGTGTACATTTAAAGTGAAGGTAAGTGAAGAAAAATGTTGCTGCCTCGGTGGGAATCGAACCTCACGTCACCCGCTCGCCGGGCTGGTATCCTGACCACTAGACTACGAGGCCGCTTATCTTTCTCCGCTTACCAACGTGTTATTGTGCCGCCACAAGAGAAAACTATGAAGAATCATGAAGCCAGGGTTACCTCAACTTAAACTATTGTTTAAGCATACGATACCTACGCATATTTAAACGCTTGATCTGAAAGTGTTTATAACTTTCGAGTCCAACGCAGAAGTCACCAAGTCACAGGCACGAATCAACATAATAAAAAATATTCTCGTTTGGATTCTTTTATTTACAAATGTTTTAAAGTGTTTTGTTATTTCATTACAGGGTTTCCGTCCGAATCGCAGACATTTTCTCCAGATCACGATCTCATTTCGGTGTCGTCTCGAGCATGAACCCTGACTGAGACCGATGCGCAAGCAGGGGGAAGTATTGATAAAGATAAAAATATGTAATTTAAAATGAACGGAAAAAGTGAGCCCCGGCGGAGTGTAGCATGGAAAGATAGGGACGTTTTAAGTAGTTTTACTAGTTCGTAGTGTTATATGTAGTTTTAGATTACACTCGTAATTTGGGAGTTGGACGAAGGCCTGACAACCCATTTCTGTAAAACATTTGTTGTTACGCATACTGAGATGACGGAAACCGGACTAGCTCTTGGAATGTTTGCATATTATTGAAGGCGGTATGAACTCTCTAGCGGAAGAGATGAAGAGGTACAGAATGAACCATATAATTTTGCGGGAAATGCGATAGAAACTGTACAGAAGCGACGGCCTTGAGGACATGGAAACCGACTCAAAGGGTATTCTTTTTCTAATTTAAGACGATCTAGACACACCTGAGCATGACTTAACTTAAGTAGTTGTTGTACTTTAGAAAACGATGAGTGTCTCACCACTTGTGTCAAAATAGAAACTCACCCAAATTGTCTACTTTTCGGAAAATGAGATGATCTAAACACCACACCCACACAAGACAACTTTAAAAAAATTCTAAACAATTTGATCAATTACCGATAGTGCGTTTTGACATATCTAATCATTTTTAATTAATTTTTGTGTTCTAAGGATTAAACAGATTATTATTAATCATAATAAATGTATTTAGTATTCGGAGAACAGTTTAACGATAACAATCACTTTGGACAGGATAACAATCGCCGATACTTACTTAATTACCGGTACTCAGACCAGTATAATACAAGATAATGTCATTAGTCTGATTAATACTTTAAACGACGCCACTTGTAAGCTAGGTAATCGCGCATTTTTTGACTCCTTTTCAGAAATTTAAAAATACGACTTTCTTCAGAAGGTACCTAATGTATTTTTTCTCACTATCATGTTTACTATACTAGGCTTTTTTATGAATGTTAGTTTAGTAGTAACCGCATGCTAAACCAACAAAAGATAAATACATAAAAAACAACTGGATTCTTTGTGGTTACTTATAGGCATGTTGCTGTACGTTTAGCCACTTCCAACTGGATAGCATACGCATACTTTAAGGAACTGGTGATTCTCGGTAACATTGTAACAATAATTAACATCATGATGATTAAACAAGTTAAGCAAATAGTTTTTTGCTATATATGTTTTACTGGCTCTTGTTATTATTGTTTCTAGTGAAACTATTAAACCAATTACACTGAACTTTAATATACACAATTGTCACGAAGACAGTGAAACACTAATACAAAAATTGACTGCGTCACCTGACAATATTTGTTAAGTAAATTTCTCTGCTTGACCACGATCTGACGAATTTTATTACAAAAAACTAAATTAGCACTCGTTAACATTTGTTCACCCCCCCCCCCCCCATGTCAGCGCGTTTACAACTAGAAAAAGTAGCATGCTTTTATTTTATCAAAGTGTATAATATCTCAGCAATTTTCCTAAAAGGGAACACGGTAACATTTAATAATTAGTGTTACAGTGTAGATATCAAAATCAATACCTTTATCTACACCAAAATGCTGGTGAGTGCTGGGGATTTCGGTGTAAATCACCTGATTTTCAGCGGTGTTTTAAAATTCTGCACTTCTACAGAACTGTCGCATTTTCATTTTAAAATGCCTAAGTGTACTTGTATCATTTCCATTTCAGGACTAGTTCATATAATAATTTTTGGCACACTTGTATTTGTATTACTTTATTTTAAACAACGTTACAGCAAATACTTTTGTAGAAATTTTCTGCACTCGGAATGTTATATATCTCGTCTTTTAATGCTTTGTGTGCGGTGGTTTTCTCTTGTAACGTATGTATGCAGATTATCTTGTGAAGTCCTGAATCAACATTCCTAGAAAATTGTTGTATGTTTTAATATGAAGTTATTAACCTACATATAATGAAGAAATTAATTACCGGTCTTTCACTGTACAATTTCCTTGTGTATACGTACGCCTGGTGTAGATTATTTTCGAAGTTCAATTAATTTGACCCAAATTTCAGCCACATTTACGTTCTCATTAAATGTTGTCCAGTAAACCCTACAGCAAGCATTGATTGAAGTAGTTATTACAGTGGCACTTGATGAATGGCGAGTTTACCCTCTTGGTAGTTATTTCACAGTAAATATTGCGTATATATTGCTTCACTCGGAAACATTCCCTCTGGAGCTAATGCTAGAGGCCAATTACTAATTTTGCTCATATCTCCACCTCCGTATAATATTGCAGCAAAGTGCAAACGCCGTCCCTTTTACAACAACCAGAGTATGTTTGCATTACGTATTTTCCTTAACTCAAAATATGTACAGTAAGTAAATATTCCCGTTTCCATTGTTTAAGATCACCGGTACCACAAAATGATTACATGAGTCCTGTGTTTAAAACAACACGTTTTTTAAGATAAGTATAAAAGATCCAAATAGAAGTGCGTGTGCACTATGCTTTCTGGACTTCCACTTCAACAGCCCTCGTGGGAATCAGAATCATCAAGAACTCCGTGAGTGTGTGTTACAACTTACAATACGCTGACAAAAAAACATCGGATTTAATCGAAGGACATGATCCTATAGTAAGACTATCCGTCATTGTAGACCAAACTTCTTGACTTTATAGGACCTTCTCTCTCTCAATTAATTGCCTGTCGTGTCCTCAACATGGCACCCTCTTTCTTTAAATATACACTCAACGGACAAGCTTTTTCGTAAAACCCTTGTGGTCTCTAGACAACCAAGCCCGAGTTTTAAAGTGTAGCCCTCATTGCAGCGTCCCTCCGTCATTGCGTCACGATTTGACAAGACACAAGAGGCACACATCCTTTGATTAGATCCCAGAACTGCCCATAGAATAGATAAACACACCCTAAACAAGTGGACCCTCTCGGATAATCCGAATAGTCGGTCTTAGCTCCTACGCGTTCTTAAATCATTAACGCGATTTAAACACAGCTTTAATTTTCATATTAATATCAGCTTTATAAAGGGGTATTATCACGTACAAGAAGCGCTAACCGCTGACTGTTGTTCTGATGTGTTTTTACAAACTTCAAACATATATTACAGTACTCCTTGTACACAACATCACAACATATTCCCACACCTGAAATTATTATGAAGGTTTCTAGAGGCGTAGGCGGTTTGCGAAGATGAAATTCGTGTAACACACACACAATGCCGCCAACGGACGTAATCCATATCGGTCTATTTCCCTTTATTGATAAATACAAAGCGTCCTATCATTTGTGGCTGCGGGAAAAATGGCCGCAACAATAATCCCCATACATGGTAGGCTTTTTTTAATTAATTAATTCAATTACGTTTTTAATTCAATTATTTAATGTAAGGATAACACCCGCTATACATTTAACCGAAACCGCATCATATATAACGAAAAATTATTACATTTTTTTCGTAAAACTTCAGTCTATCAACGTTAGTACAAACGGATTATGCCCTCAAATGGTTGCCTCAAAGGGTAGGTGGTTATCCCACGCAAAGATTTGATTTAGGCAAGTTATTCCTTTGTATCTATTAATCCATGCAAATGTATAACCGATTGTTTAAGTTAATTGGGATTTAGCTGAAATTGTTCGTTATACAGCGTGTTCAGAACACGTAATGGAGGTTTAGAGAGCGGAATTGATAAGTGCCGAATAGCTCAAATTATATTTTGTTAATTTGTGGTTAACGCTTCAATGATTATTATTGTTTATTTTCCAAGCAATGGTAATAATAAGGGGTCAGTTTGACAAATATCTATCTTTGCAAAACGCATAAACTCAAATGGACTTAACAACTGACTTAAGTTTTCGAACGATTTGCGGCGATGACTGGCGAAGATTACCGAAAGATTGACGTGTATTCAAAAATATTTTTAAAATTGTCTTCTTGCAACTTTGTGTCCGTACAATGAACATAAATCTTTTAATTTGTGGGTGTCCGAATGTTTTTGTAACAAAATATATTTGTGATATTCTCCATACATTCTGGACCTTTATGTGACAAATGATGTACATTTTTTTTAATGGACAAAGCGCGAATGTCATTTGAGCACAGTCGATGTATTTATTTTTCTACAAACAAAATTGTTATGTTATTTTAAACAAAGTATTTCTGTTAGTTAATTAAACGGTGTTAATACGGCATAATTTAATTAAACAAAGTTCTGAAAACTTGATAAAAGTTGTAATTTAAATGAATGTGAAAGCACCGAGCTTATGAAAGCTCAATATGCAGAAGTGCTTCCCACTCCATTTTCACAAAATGTATTTACATTATCACGACGATCAATAGAGAGCAGCACAAACTTAATACCGCTGAGTAGATTTCTAAATTTTTATGGATAGGTGTGGGTGGGTAAATTTAATGTAAAATGGCTTAACAGAAAAAAACTGATATTGATTTTATATCTTATATCCATGAATTGAATATTAATTTGCATATTTTTTCCTAAACCCGGTGACACTTCCTTTGTGGTACACCAAATATGTACATAATCAGGTCCCTACATCATTTGATTAGTAAGGAGCGTCATTAAAAATCATCCACCGCTATATTGTTCGCTACTTGAGCTTTATTCCACATGAACTCAGTTTGAATCAAGTAGGCGAGATTTGATTTAACTATCAAACTATTCACGAAGTAACTGAACAAGTTTGACAAGTTATGGAAGTTCACACATTCAACTCAACCAAAGATTTAATAAGGTACACAACAAACTAGAACTGACACGTAAAGAAAGCAATTTCGCCAAATTTATTAAAAGTTAGGTTATCAAAAATACATATACTTCTATATCACAAGCGATTGTCACACAAAACACTTAACTACAAACATAAAATAGCTAATACTACAGTATAAACTACGAACTTTACAAAATGGCTTAAGTATAACAGTGCAATTACAATAAATTTTGGCTGTTACGTCACAATATGGCAAACATAGTAGGCATCTTGAATTTTCACATTGTCACTGAAACAATATTAATCCAGTATTGACATGAAGTTAGTGATTTTTAACTTACTGTGGTGGCAAAGTCGTCCGTACCAACCCGGGTCACAAACACAGGCATTGTCAACGCAAGTACCGTGTTTGCAATTTAGCTTGCAGTTACTTCTATGGGGTTTAGCCTTGCCGATTTCACAATGGTCACCACGGAAGCCTTGATGACATCTACACTTGTTCACACCACGACATTTGCCCCCATTTACGCACGGAATTATACACTTGGCTAAAAAAATCAGTCAGTCGCCATTTTAATGAAAAAGTAGTACTTACAGTATTCACAATGGGGGCCGTAGTAGCCTTTGGAACATTCGCAAGTGTCTTTCTGGACACACTTCCCTCCGTTGAGACACTTCTCCAAGCAGATTCCTGAGCAAAGACAATTAATAATCAGATGTTGGTTATTTGTGTTGGTACAGACTTCAGTATGTGGTAGTAGTTTGTGACTTTAGTTACATCCATAATTTTATATAGAATTACAAAATCATAAAATAACGTGTTCGAAAAAATCGTCTAGTAGGCCGTGAAATTTATTTTTATGGTAATGATGTTGGCATTGCTGCTATTTGACACTTTGACAGTTTTTACCTCCTTCACAGTGTCTTCCTTGGAATCCTGGGGGACAGCTGCATATCCCCGGCGAGGTGCAGTTGCCCCCGTTCATGCACTGTGGGTAGCAGAGCGCGGTTTGACAGTACTGCCCCATGTAGCCCTCCGAGCACTGACAGATCTTCTCGTGGTTGCACCAGCCCCTATTTGCGCACTTTTTATCGCACTCTGGGTCCGGATCTATAATTTGTATTTTACAAAAGTGTTCAAAAACATTACGCTTTCATACTTCTTTGTGAGCACTCTTTGCGCAATTTGAGACGCAGTGGCGTCCCGTTCAGAGGTTTTCCCTTTTTCATGATGTGAAGCTCAATTCCGAAGGGCGCAATGCCGGAATTATTCCCTAAACACGGCAATAAAATACTAAATTCTTTTGGCTTTTTTGGCACTCTTCCTTTTGTTTTTATTGATATCACTGGAGCTTCTAAAATACTCTCATCAAATGACTGTAAATGATCAAAATTATAATTATACTTCTTGGTGCCGGATTTCCATGTAAAATTAACGTAACTAACTTCGGAGGGTATGACTGGTAAGTATTTTTCGAAATTTGGGTCTAAAATGTAGGGTAGGACGTTGCCATTGACTATGGCGTAAATTTCGTACGACATACCTAAACAACATTTGCTTTATAAATCGTGATTGTAATATACACGCAAACGTACCACTGAACATTTTGACCTGTTTTTCATCTATCCATAAGGCGAGGTCGTCGATGTTCCGCGGATCGTTCTTTGGGTCTTTCCGCGATGAGACGGAGTTCATGGTCAGGAGAAGGGCGAAGACCAGAAGCTTCCACATGGCAGGTTTTTTTGACAACTTGCTAAAATTAAAATAGCCTTGATTATTTTTGTTGTCGGAAAATTTTCAAACGGTATTAATAGAAAGCGGAAAGAATTATTTTTTTATGAATTTACCATTAATATAAGCTTCATTCCTCTTCGGCAGTGCTACAAATATAGCACAGAGTTTATCGTTTTGCAGAAAGCTACATTAAAGCAAATTGCGCCTGGATTCCTATAAATAAAAGCGGTTTAAAGCTTTTGTTTACATTCTAACTAGTGCTAATTCTATCCCATATTACAAGCCAAGCATTCTTTATTTAGAAAATTGAACAAACAACCTACCTTTTCTGGTTTATTTAAACGTATTAGGAATTTGTTTAATCTTGAGATTGCTGCGTACAAGACGCCCAGTTACAATTATCTTTGTTAACTTTAGATTATTCTGAGAAACCGACAACACAAACAATAAATGTAAATAGAACAAATGTCACCCCCCACTATTATACCAATCATACGAAAAAATATTGCTAGTGGTGCTCTCTAGTGCACAAAATGTGAACCAGCTACAGAAAACAACGTATTTATGGTGCAAATTGCGAAATTCTCTCCAGATTTCAATAAATTTGTTCCTTGTGAAAAGCAAAAATGTGTTTTCACGGAAACAAATCATTCGAAAATGGTTGAGGTGGCAAAAGTCAAGGTCGTTATAATTCATAATATCTTTCAGTTTTCTCAGTCATTTTCAAATCAATTACATAAATCTTTACATTGTTATTTATATGAAGATAACAAGCACTTATTACTTGTTAACACAATAAATCTACGTATGGTTCAAGTTTGGGTTTTTATTTCTGTCAGGTTTGTGCGTTGGCAACGCAATCTGCAACTTTTAGGCGCGAAATGAGTGAAGCCGGTTAGCAACACGCCATCGAATTCGGCGAATCCAGTCACAAGAACGATGGTCTTTGTAACCGACGAACAAGCCTCTACACGTTTGCGGTATTTTAAAATTTAAAGTTAGCCTTAAATGTTGCATTAGTGTTCAAATCCACTTAAAAGTGGTAGTGTCAGTGTTACCTTTTAACCAAACCGTGTGCTCTCTGTAAGTAACCATCCAAAATTTCAACAAAATTTTCGCAGTTCACGTTTATGACAATGAGCACAAAAGTAGCCACTCGAAACTCAACAACTTTATTAAAAACTTTAGACGTAATGAAGGCCGAAGAATTTGGCAACCGACAAATTACTCTGAAAGAAGTCCCCCAGCTGCACAATGCGGAAAAAAAATCTAGTCCTTCCACTTCGATCAGGAGAAGCAAGCGTACGCGTTCTGCTTCCCAAGACCCAAGTTCGGAGTTACAAACCCCGAAAAGACCCAAACTTAATGGGAAACTAAAAAGTGATATTAAAGTACCTGAAACAGGATCTGGTAGTCCTTCGAACCCGCCAGAAGTTACTTCAAATGTAGAAACTAACTCAGAACTAAAGACTGACGTCTCAAGCATCTCAGATGCTCATAGATTTATTAAGAAGTCCAAAAATGCAGAGGTCGATAGAGAGTCTGAACGGGCCAAGCAGATGAAATTTCTGGACAGCTTTGTACAAATAAGCCTAAAATATTCAGAGTATCTTGAAAATAAAGTAGGCACGTCACAGCAAAGGTGAGTACTTTTGTCATTTTTGTATCAAATTTGATTGTGCCGTGCTTACTGACATGTAACTTCTAAGACAGTAACAAGGCATAAGTTCAGAGTGGAATCTAGTGCATGCATGGAATAGTTTTTTTATGTGGAAGCATTCAAATTGAAAAAAACATTAATCTGTAACTAAAGTAAAAACACTCGAAATTAAGCGTGTACTGAGAAATTGAGAATACATTTACTTTAGACATAGTTTGTCAATAGCTTATTTTGCAATTACAGTTCAAGTTCGTCATCTTCAGGCGGTGAGAGCAGTAACGGTGTGTAATTCTAAATTTTGACAAACCCAGTTCTATAAAATGAAATTTTTAGTTCGTGCCGACATTGTTGATCGTCTAAAATATTTTCGGGGCGAGCTGCGTCCTTACCAATTAGAGGGAGTAACGTGGCTAACCGTAAGTAAACAGTTAGGGTTAGACACCAAATAAAAATATCCTTTAGATTCTTTTTGAAAATACGGTCAATGGGATTTTGGCCGACGAAATGGGTTTGGGCAAAACCATCCAAATTATAGCCCTTTTTTGTCACCTGTACGAAAGAAAAGTGCACGGGCCTTTTCTGATTGTCGCTCCACTGTCGACCCTGGGGAATTGGGAAAGCGAATTCAAAAGATTTGCCCCCGATTTGCCCGTTGTTCGTTTTCAAGGATCTCCAGTGGAGCGGGCGGAACAAGTAAAGAAAATTAAAACCTCTTATTATCTGGACGGGCGAATCGTCAAGCCTATAGTCATCTGTTCGTACCAAATCCCGCTAATGGAAAGTGCGTTTTTGCATAATTTCATTTGGAAATACGTCGTCGTGGATGAAGGGCACAGAATAAAGAATTCCGAGTCACGACTGTCAAGGTATATATTTGATAGTTAGTGACGACTGGTGGTACATTTGTGTCATTTAGGGAACTGCGAAATTTGAAATCGGTTAATAGAACCCTCCTCACGGGGACACCACTTCAAAATGACCTCAAGGAATTGTGGGCCCTGTTTCATTTCTTGATGCCAGATATGTTTAAGGATGAGGAGGCTTTATCCAAACTGCTTGACTTGGAAGACGTCAAGGTAAACTACCCAGTGTCTTTTTGAAGTTCGTTACAAGTGTTTTTAAAGGATAAGGGTAAACTCCTGGAGGACGAGGCGAAGAGCCACTTCATCTCAGCTATCCATAAAGTGCTTGCCCCGTTTATGCTGAGAAGGGAGAAAAAGTCGGTGCTCCCCGATATCGTACCCAAAAAAGAAGTAATAATACACTGCTCTCTAACGGAAATGCAAAGTTACCTATACCGTGCGACGTTACAAGGCGACGTGAATAAACTCTATATGCAGAAAGAAGATTCGCAACAGGTTGTCCACTTCCTTTAGTTTTATTTTCAACTAAACGTTTATTCTTAGGTATGCGGTAAAAGATCTTGCCGCGGCAAAAAAGCACTAACTTTTTCAGAGTACCATGATAAGAAGATTGAAGAGTGCATGACCAATAAATTCCTCCGGAATAAAGAAAACAGGTCTTTAAATTGCCCTGATGGTAAATACATTTGTTACGTCACCATGCAAAACACAATGATGATGTTGAAAAAAATTGTCAATCATCCATATTTAGTCTGGTGTCCTGTTGAGTCCACTGGCACTAGACCCGTGATTCGTGTAACTGAAGATATCGTCAAGCAGAGTGGTAAACTCATGGTGTTAGATGCGTTGCTACCGAAATTACAGAAGGGCGGGCACAAGGTATGACAACACCCGGAAACCCGAATCACCGATAATTATTTCGTTTGTAGGTTTTGATATTTAGTACTCTGGTGATGTTCATGGACATGATTGAGGAGATGTTAATATTGCGTGGGTACAACTACCGCAAACTTGACGGAGGAATCAATTATGACGACAGAATGGAAGTTATCAACGACTTCCAGACAGATCCATCGATATTTATTTTTTTAATTTCGACCAGAGCAGGCGGTTTGGGGTTAAATTTGACCGCGGCTGACACTGTTATTTTCATGGACAGGGATTGGGTAAGCCCAAATGTGTGTAAAGTAGGAAAAGGTTTATACGTTTTTTGCAGAACCCCATGGCGGACTCGCAAGCTCAAGATCGGTGCCACAGGATCGGACAGACGAAGCCTGTTGTCATCTATAGTTTAATCGCTAAAGGGACGATAGATGAAGTGATTTTAACGCGCGGTGATATGAAGCGACGTCTCGAAAAAATTGTGCTAAAGGAAGGTCAGTTTTTTTCTTCTTTCTTAAACTAAAATGACTTACTGAAATTCATGCTTTAGGTAAATTTAAAACAATTAAAAAAAATTTTTCCGAAAATGAATTAAAAGATTTGGAAGAACTCCTCAATAACGAAGAGAAACTGAAGACCATCCGCTCAAATGGATTGATTTATACGAATGCGGAATTAAACCAGATTTTAGATCGCAGTGATTTGCATGAGGCTTTACGCAAACAGTTGGAAAAAAATAAAGGGAAATCCAAGAAGTGATAACCTTCCTAAATTTTTTTATATTGACGTATTATTGGTATTAACAAGTTTTTAAATTTTTTACGTTTTGTATTTTGGTATGTTCCTTACTGTTTTTTCATTAAAGTTTTTAAATTTCACCGTTTTTTATTCAAAAAAATTGGAAAGTTAATTTTCAAATAAAATAGAAAATATTACGTTAATTCAACAAATTGTTGAAGTCTATGGTGCTCCAAAGTTGAAAATATTTAACGATTTCAACGTCTGAATGATGCGAACACTTGTTTTCAGTTTTGTCCTCATTTTTGTTTCATAATTTTCATTCTCGTTCTCTTTCTAATTCCCTCTCTCATTCTTTTTCTTGTCAATCCTTTTCACTCTATTTGTAATTTTGTTTCTAATTTATATTTTCGTTTTTATTTCTGTTCCGAATTTCGTGTACTTTTCTTTTTTTTCTTATTCTCGTTCACAGTTTCTATTTTCATAATTCTTTCACATTAATTCTGGTTTTGGTTCTCATTTTTATCCTCAGTCTCATGGTTCTTGTTTTGTCACGTTTTCATTTTAGTTCTATATTCTTTTCTCATTCTCGTTTCCACGTTAATTCCTCTTCACATTTCTGTTTTTTACAATTCTGTCATTGCAATTCTAGTTTGTGTTCCCATTTTCCGTTAATTCCATTCTTATTCTTGTACGTGTACATTCATGTTTCGTCCCAATTTTCGTTCACACTTTCATTTCTTCTAGTTCTCTCGTCGTAATTCTAATTTTGAATTTAAATTTTTTGCCAGTTGCATTCTTATCCTTTGATATTTTTATTTTCAACCTCGTTCTTATTTTGGTTTTCATTTGTCTTCATTCTCGACTACATTTTTCTTTTCATTTTAGTTCTGTTTCTGATTTTCGTCCTCGTTCTCCTAGTTCTAATTTTGACTTTTTACTTCCAGAACGTAAGCGAATGATGACGTCACCTCAAAATATTGTTGCATTAATATTTTTTTGATTTGTTTACGTACGAGCAGTAGCCCCGCCCACCCACCGCTTCTTCGTCCCAGTGACTACTCTTAATATTGTTCAGTTCTATCTTGGCAAGTTTTAGCCCCACCCACCCACCCTTTTTTTTTCTTAGAGTATGCCATTTACCAAAATTAGTCTTATCTTAACAAGAACTAGCCCCGCCCACCCGCCCTCTATTTTCTTAGAAGGTATGTCGTTTGCCACAATCAGTCTTATCTTAGCAAGCCCCGCCTACTCGTGCTGTTCTCATTCTAACGATTTTATATGTATCTCTTCAATTGAAATCTACCTTTCATTCGGACTAGACAAAATGAATCACTGAAATTGAGGCGGGATGAATTATATATTCTTTTGTAAAATGAAAATGGGAACGAATAGAACGTAGGCTGTTGTGACCGAATTTGAATCACACATTTGAATATCTTGAATTAAAAAAAAATGCAATCAAAAAAACATCGTTACACAGGCAACCATGTGCACGTTAGCGCTTTTGGGTAGTGGGTAGTTTTCTGCTTGGAATTTTAGTTACAGGGTTGGTAGCAAAAAGTTGGCATTGCTTGGTAGAAGATGGTGGCTCGTCTAGGCATGTTCTTCGTGCTGGGTGACAGTGCTTGCCATAGATAGAATCACCGTCGTGGGAGGAGAACAGCCACAACCAGGGGCCCCAAACCCCGCTCGCGCTACAACGCCCCCTATGGGTATTTTTGTTGTGGTCTAGAAGGAAATTGACATAGTTCGATCGCCACACTCTCATTAAAATATTGGTCGCTTGTTGACTGCCACAATTTAAATTAAACCGAATAACTTGTATATTTGGATCCATTTACGTTTCTTCAGATTTTGTTTGTTTTTATTCAGTTTGTGAATTTCAAATATTTGCGTTGATTCAGAACGTTTAATCTGGTTTCATTCCAAGTCATTCAAAGTTTTTTTTTGTGGCTGAGCACTAAGAAGGTCCTCAATCTGTGCAACTTAGTCGCAGTTTTTTTTTTGTCAGTGGAGGAAGAAATAATTTTGTGCCTTCCATAAATTTGGTGTTTTATTTAGCGGTACTTTTCCACTCTTGGGGTCCATCACTTGCATCTGAACGCATCCCGCCATTTTTCAAAAACTCAATTTTGCCATTTTGTTAGACGAATTTTTTAATTTTTCGCGGGCTTTCAAACTTTTTTCTCATGCCAATTTAAGGCGGGACGTTTGGGTGTCGTTGCAAAAATGTTCATGACGTCATCACAAAATTGTGTAAAGTAAAAACTCAACTTGAATTGAATTTCGACCAATTCTTACTTCCCGAGCGTAAGCAAAGGAAGTATTGTAATCGAGTCCGTCGGTCGACTCTCTACTTTTGCATTTTCTCAACCTATCATGACCCCTAGAGGACGAAGAAATAGGTCTCCCGTTTCCGTCTGTCTGTCCGTCTGTCCGCCGTCCCGGATTTTTATTAGACAGATAATCTCCGAAACCACTTAGCCCATTTGTTGTCAAATTTTGTATTTGTATTAGGTATATCATGTAGATGGTAAAACGCTAACCAAAATTTATCTAATCATCCCCACCACTAATGTGATGACGTCATTTCAAAATTGTACATAGTAATTGGGTTTCAAATTGTATCAAATAACATAGTCTTACACATGTAGTTTATGATTCCGAATTGAGATTTTACCCCAAACGTCCAGATTTTTGGAAAAAAAATCAAAACTAGGAAACAACATTTTGACATTTAATTTGGAATCTACAAAACCGAATGCTTTTAAATCTTGCAGATGGTTTATAGTTATGATAAGCATGATAAAATTTTGATCACAAAATATTTACTTACCCCCTCCAAAAAATTGATGACGTCAGCTCAAAAGTTTGCCAAATAAATCTTATCTAAAATGTACAAAATATGATGAGTCTGTACTTGTGATTTATCATTCCATTCATATTTTTTGAATTCGCATATACAGGGTGACTCCAAAAAATTAATGAATGCGTGAATTTATTTTATTTATTTAATCAGGAACTACTAAACCGAATGCTTTGAAATCTTGTAAATGTTTTAAAGTTATCATAGGCACATTAAATTTTTGGTCAAAATGTATTTGCTCATCCCCTCTAAAAAATTGATGACGTAATCTCAAAATTTTGCTGAATAAATCCTATCTTAAATGTGCAAAATATGATGAATCTGTAGTTGTGATTTATCATACCATTCATAATTTTTGATATACAGGGTGACTCAAAAAAATTAATGAATGCGTGAATTTATTCTATTGATTTAATCAGGAACTACAAAACTGAATGCTTTGAAATCTTGGAGATGTTTTAAAGTTATCATAGGCATATTAAATTTTTAGTCAAAATATATTTGCTCATCCCCCCTAAAAAATTAATGACGTCACCTCAAAATTTTGCTGAATAAATCCTATCTTAAATGTGCAAAGTCTGATGGGTCTGTAGTTGTGATTTATCATACCATTCATATTTTTTGGATTTGCATATACAGGTGACTCAAAAAAATTAATGAATGCGTGAATTTATTCTATTGATTTAATCAGAAACTACAAAACCGAATGCTTTGAAATCGTGGAGATGTTTTAAAGTTATCATAGTCATGGTAAATTTTTAGTCAAAATGTATTTGCTCCTCCCTCCCTTAAAAATTGCTGACGTCACCTCAAAATTTTGTTGAATAAATGCTATTCTAACTGTGCAAGAAGAAAACATAATACAATAGGCATGCAGTTGTCACATTTCCAACAGCGAGGGAAGTACTGTCTAAACTCTTTAGACCAATTTTTTTCAGTTGCCGTTTTCCAATTTTCGTTCTAATTCTCGTCTACATTTTGGCTTTAATTCCTCTATATTCTCCTTCTCAGCTGGGTTCTTTTTTTCCCACTTTCTTTCGTATTCTCCTTATTATCCTAGTTTTCATTGTAATTCACATTGTTATCCTCGTTTTTTACCGTAATTCTATCACGATTTTCATTTTGCTTCCATTCTCGTTCTTACTGCTGTCCGTATGTTCGTTCTCGATCGCGTTTTCCTTCTCATTCTCATTGCCGTTATTCATATTCCTCTCTCTGTTTTTTCGCATTCTGCTACTCGTGCTCATTCTCATATTCACTTTCATTCTTATTATCATTTTTCGTGTCATTTACATTCTCATTCTCCTCGTTTATTTATTTTCACATTTTATATTCTCCCTATTCTGATTTTGATTCTTTTGGTCCTTCTATATTGTGTCCTTACAAATTATTTTTTTGATATTTATGGGGATTTTCATTTCTTCTAATTCAAGATGTTCTGTGTTTAGCCCATTGATTGTTTTACAACTTGTAATTAAAATAGGGGTTTTCGTAGCAAAAAAGAACCTCAGTCAAATTTTATAATTTATCTAAGAAAGTGGAGTTGTTTCATTGTGATTAAGGGCCGAAACAATTTTAAACAAAAAAAATATAAAAGTACGAGTTTCAAAAATTCTGTTTCGGGAGTGTAGTTAGTTCAAATCGTGCGCGTTTCAGGGCTGCCAATCGTTCTGTCAGTTGTCGTAAAATTGACATTTGCCTTATCCACACAGGTACATGTCAACGTGATTTCGTGGTTTCTACGAATTTCATAATAATTTCAGAAATTGCAGGTCATGGTTGCCTTCTGTCCGTTCTGTGGTAATTTATTATTCGCACAAGAGTCTTGTGGAAAAATAAGCTTTTCTTGTAGAATTTGCCCCGTGTCATTTCCCGTGAAGCGGAAAATTTCCAACCGAACGTACTACCAAGTGAAGGTAACGTGTATAAATAATGTAAACAAAACTCTAAAGTTCCTACGCTTTTAGTCCGTCGACGATGTCCTAGGCGGTGAAGATGCTTGGAAACATTGCGACGTAACGGCCGAAACGTGCCCCAAATGTAGCTACCCTCGGGCATACTTCCTTCAAGTTCAGACCCGATCCGCTGACGAACCCATGACTAATTTTTACCGCTGCTGCAACCCTGAGTGTGCACACAACTGGCGCGAATAAACCGACCCAATGCGTTTATTCAAGCCGCTGCTGAAGAAGTTGTTAGAGAGTCGAGTTTCTATGGCAGTGCACGTTCCCATTGGGGACCAGAGTACAGAAAATTTAGCTGTGGAATTACTGAAAACGGGCGGAGTGATTGCGGTACCTACGGATACGGTTTATGGACTGGCATGTGATGCGACGAACATAACCTCCATTGATAAATTGTACACGATTAAATGTAGAAACGAGGAGAAACCCGTCGCTATCTGCTTGGGTAAAGTCAGTGAAGTGAAAACTTGGGCGAAAGTTGAGCATTTGCCCAAAGGTTTACTCGAGGCACTTTTACCAGGACCCGTTACTCTCATTCTAACCTGCGCTAATAAACTGGACAAATCCTTGAGCTTTCACGGGAAAGTTGGAATCAGGATCCCGGATTATCATTTCATTCGTGCGCTAGCAGTGGGTTTAGGGCGACCGCTAGCTTTAACTAGTGCGAACTTGAGCAACGAACCCAGTTCGTTGACAGTTGATGAATTTAAACCCTTGTGGGGTAAACTAGAGTCTGTTTTTGACGGCGGTAACTTAGGAGAGGATACGAAGAGACGGGCGTCCACGGTCGTGGATTTGTCAGAATTTGGAATTTTTACTATAGTTCGACCAGGGGTAGCAGCATCAAAAACAGTATCAACTCTACATAAATTCGGTTTGATTAATAAACATGAATAAGTTGTTTAAAGGTGTAAACTCTTCAGTTACCAACAAAGACGGTTTAATTAAAAAATCGATAACTACGCAGTTATCAAATAGTGTGAAAGCTATTCAGTATTGTGGAGTCGAAGAAAATGGACTTAATAAAGCGGAGGATGTTACTGAAGCTTCAAACACGTTGTGTATGACAATAGAGGCCATTTTTCTGCACGGATTGAGGGATTCGTTGAGTAGGAGGTTCAAACGGGCGATTGCTGATGTTGACGAACGACCAGAACCCAGCTTTTGGGCCCCTTTGCTTGTCATTTCCCACCGGCAGATCATTGATCAGGTAAGGTTGAACTACGAGAAAAAAATTGTCATAATTTAAAAAAAAAATATGATGGGCGCGAGCGAAGCTCGCGCCTAGTATATGTCCCGCATGATGTAAACACAATTACAATATATGCAGTCATTTCTTACCGCTCTTATCTTGCTAAGTACTATATTCTAATCGTGTGACGTAATATTGTTTTATTGCACTCGTACGATTTTTTTTATTCAATATGGTATACTATATTTTATTAATGAGAACTCTGTTTTGTTGCCTCTGTGGGTAATTTTGACTTGGTACCCCTTCGGCGATGATTTTAATATTTATAGACGAATTCTTATTGGTAAATTGAAGCGACAGTTGTTTTATTGGTCTGTTGCTCTATTGTGTTTTAGGGAAAAAAAAATATGAAACGCCACTGTTTCGTTTGCAGGCAATCGTAAAAATACATTATTTGGCATGATAAACTGCAACATGGGTGAACATTTGGCTGCAATATTTTTAGATTTTTGTTATGTATTAGTGTACATAAATGAGTCATAAGTACGAAAATGTTCTGATTCATTGGTAACGTTATCTCCTCAACGAAAATCGAAAGGATTATAGCACTGATAATTTCGTTAATGTTAAAATGTGATGCGTCACTTTTGTGTTTTAGCTCTTCTGAGTAATTAAAAAATGTGTAGCAGATATGCTTTTTTGGTTATTTGGATATTTTTCATTTTTAAAAATACTGTCATTCTGTGTGTCAAATTTGCATGACGTCATGTGTCATTCGTTAGTCACGTGTTTCTCTGTAATTATCATGCTATGTGTTATTTTGCGCTGTACATAGCTAATTATATAAATTTACAGGTTGATCCATTTATACATACACTAGATGATTATAAAAAATGTCAATCATAACCTAACTTTGACATTATCTTAGTAGGTCGCCAGTATGCATTATATTTTTTGGTTAATGCAGAAAACGAATATACAATATAGTAAAACTTTCGTGTTACGATATAAAAGTTTGGCAAGTAACAACGAAGTAGTGAGTAGTAACAATATTGAAAATCCTCAGAACCCATTAGAACGAGGATTATGAAAAAGCATTTAATTTAAATGTGCTTGGGTAGATGGAAAATATTTTTAACTGTGTCCATCCTCTAAGCTAAAATACAATAACCACACAGAACAAACAGACATTTCATGGGTCTGCCATCTGTGTCAGTTATGTATGTAATTTTTAATAGTGAGTAAAATTTTAATTGTAAAAAAATAACATACTCTTGTATTTGTGGTTTATGAACCCGCGTTGAGGCTAAAGTTTAGCAAATCAATTTCTCGACTTTTCATGACCCCTACAAACGGATGGGTGGGGCTTATCTTTTGGGTTTTTTTTTTCCTTATTTAATGCATAGTTTTCTTTAGGAAAATACCGATTTTGCACTTAAGTTCGCCCCTCTGGCTCACGACGAACAAAGAAAAATCGTCACAATTGAGATAGGGTGGGTGGGCGGGGCTTTTGTTTTGCTTCTTTTTTTTCCTAATAGACATAGTCTTGTGTTCACAACAAGAAACTGAAAACATGTTTAAAATGGTAAATTTTGTCTCCCACACTTCTCTACAAATTTTACCCTTTTAAACATGCTTTCAGTTTCTTGTAAAAAGAAAACTATGTACATATTTTAAGAAAGAACAAAGGTAAAATGCAAAGCCCGCCCACCCACCCTTAGCTTAATTGTGACAAAGTTTTTATTCGCCTTCAGATCGAGGGGCGGAGCTTAATTGCAAAATGCTTATTTCTCCACAAGGAACTACCATATGAAACATGTTTTTAAGTAACATGTTGAGAGTGAACAATACATGTAAAGAAAAAAAAAGTTAAAAATTAAGCTCCGCCTACCCACCATTATATCAACTGTAATCATGTTTTTCGTTGTGAGCATGGGGGCGGAGTTTAATAGCAAAATCCTTATTTCTCTGGAAGAACTTACCGTTTAGAACATGTTTTTAGTATGGTGTTGAAAGAAACCAATACATATTAAGAAAAAATAAAACCCCACCCACCCACCCTGATCTCATTTGTGATGATTTTTTTTATGAAAACACGTTTTAAGTATTAAAAAAAAAATCACCACAATTGAGATGGGGTGGGTGGGCGGGGCTTATATTTTCTTTTGTTTCTTAATCTATGTAGTCATTTTTTCGCAACAATAACTTAAAATATGTTTAAAATTTTTAATTTCTGTAGGGAAATATGGATTTTCCAATTACAACTGTGTGACAACGAATGAAGAATTCACCCCTAGAGTACGAGTCCGTCTGTGTGTCTGTCCGGATTTTTATTAGACAGATAATCTCTGGAAGTAATGAGCCGTTTGTTGTCAAATTTTATACATATTTATATTAGGAATATCATGTTGATGGTAAAACGCTAACCAAAATTTGTCTAATCATCTAACAATAATGTGATGACGTCACTTCAAAATTGTACATAGTGGATAGGTTTTAAATTGTATAAAATAACATATTCCTAGTAGTTTATGACTCCGTCTTGAGTTTTTACTCGAAATGTCCAGTTTGTTTTACATTTTTTTTCATCTTAATATACATAGTCTTTTCTTCACAACACGAAACTGAAAACATGTTTAAAATTGTAAATTTTATCGCCCACAGTTCCCTACAAATTTACACTTTTAAACATACTTTCATTTTGTTGTGAAAAGAAAACTACGTGCATATATTAAGAAAAAAAAGGCAAAATACAAAGCCCGCCCACCCACCCTCAGTTTAGTTGTGACAACGTTTTTGTTCGTCCTCAGATCGAGGGGCGGAGCTTTGCAAAATGCTTATTTCTCTACAGGAAACTACCATATGAGATATGTTTTTAAGTAACATGTTGAAAGAAAACACTATGTAAAGAAAAAAAGTTAAAAATGAAGCTCCGCCTGTTTACTTTGGTAAATTTTATCTCTTACACTTTTCTACAAATTTGCCCTTTTAAACATGTTTTCAGTTTCTTATAAGAAGAAAATTACGCACATGAATTAAGAGAAACCAAGGTAAAAATCAAACCCCGCCCACCCGCCCTCAGTTCAATTGTGATAACGTTTTTGTTCGTTGTGAGCCGAAGGGCGGAGTTTAATAGCAGAATTCTTATTTCTCTGCAAGAACTTACCATCTGAAACATGTTCTAAGCATGGTGTTGAAAGAAATCGGTGTATATTAAGAAAAAAAAGCAAAGATAAAGCCCCACCCACTCGCCCTGATCTCATTTGTGATGAATTTTTCACGAAAACATGTTTTAAGTATTATTATGGAATTAAGCTCACTACGAATAAAAAAAATCATCACAATTGAGATGGGGTGGGTGGGCGGGGCTTATATTTTCTTTTGTTTCTTATTCTAAGTAGTCATCTTTTCGCAACAACAACTTAAAACATGTTTAAAATGGTAAATTTCTGTAGGGAAATATGGATTTTCCAATTACGCCTCTCGGTGTGACAATGAATGAAAAATGTATCACGATTGATTTTATTTTCTTAATATACATAGTCTTGTCTTCACAACAAGAAACTAAAAACATGTTTAAAATGGTAAATTTTATCCTCCACACTTTTCTACAAATTTACCCTTTTAAACATGCTTTCAGTTTCTTGTAAAAAGAAAACCACGTACATATTTTAAGAAAAACAAGGTAAAATTCAAACCCCGCCCACCCACCCCATCTCAATTGTGATGAATTTTTCACGAAAACATGTTTTTGCTGTTATCATGCAATTAAGCTCATTGTCATGCTTCTTGGCTCACGATGAATAAAAAAATCGTCACAATTGGGATAGGGTGGGTGGGCGGGGTTTATATTTCTTTTGTTTCTTAATCTACGTAGTCATTTTTTCACAGCAATAACTTAAAACATGCTTAAAATGGTAAATTTCTGTAGGGAAATATGGATTTTGAAATTACGCTCCGCCCCTCGGTCTGACAACGAATGAAAAATTCATCACGATTGAGATCGACATGGAAGGGTGGGGCTTAATCTTTGGCTTTATTTTTTACATAATATACGTAGTACTTTTTGAACAACACAATACTCAAAAACATGTTTTACATGATAATTTCTTGTAGAGAAATAAGGATTTTAAGCTCCACCCCCTTGGCTCGCCATGAATAAAAATAATTATCACAATTTAGGTGGGTAAGTGGGGCTTTTTTCTCTTAATACACATAATCTTATCTTCATAACAAGAAACTAAAGACAAGTTTAAAATGGTAAATTTTATTACCCACACTTCTCTACAAATTTACCCGTTTAAACATGCTTTCAGTTTCTTGTAAAAAGAAAACCACGTACAACATTAAGAAAAACAAGATAAAATTGAAACCCCGCCCACCCACCCTCATCTCAATTGTGATGAATTTTTCACGAAAACGTGTTTTAAGTATTATCATGCAATTCAGCTTATTGTCATGCATCTTGGCTCACGAGGAATAAAAAAGATCGTCACAATTGAGTTAGGGTGGGTGGGCGGGGTTTATATTTTTTTTTGTTTCTTAATCTACGCAGTCATCTTTTCACAACAATAACTTAAAACTTGTTTAAAATGGAAAATTTCTGTAGGGAAATATGGATTTTGCAATTCCGCTCCGCCTCTCGGTCTGGCAACGAATGAAAAATTGATCACGATTGGGATCGACACGGAAGGGTGGGGCTTAATCTTTGGTTTTATTTTTTACTTAATATACTTTGAACAACACGATACTCAAAAACATGTTTTACATGATAATTTCTTGTAGAATATAAGGGTTTTAAGCTCCACCTCCTTGGCTCACGATGAATAAAAATAATCATCACAATTGAGATAGGGTGGGTGGGAGGGGCTTGTTTTTTTTTTGCTCTTAATATACATAGTCTTGTCTTCTCAACATGAAACTAAAAACATGTTTAAAATGGTAAATTTTATTCCTCCACACTTCTTTACGAATTTACCCTTTTAAACATGCTTTCAGTTTCTTGTAAAAAGAAAACCACGTACATGCATTAAGAAAAACAAGGTAAAATTCAAACCCCGCCCACCCGCCCTCATCTCAATTGTGATGAATTTTTCAGGAAAACTTCTTTTAAGTATTATCATGCAATTAAGCTCATTGTCATGCATCTTGGCTCACGATGAATAAAAAAAATCGTCACAATTGAGATAGGGTGGGTGGGCGGGGTTTATATTTTCTTTTGTTTCTTAATCTACGTAGTCATCTTTTCACAACAATGACTTAAAATTTGTTTAAAATGGAAAATTTCTGTAGGGAAATATGGATTTTGCAATTCCGCTCCGCCCCTCGGTGTGACAGCGAATGAAAAATTGATCACGATTGGGATCGACACGGAAGGGTGGGGCTTAATCTTTGGTTTTATTTTTTACTTAATATACTTTGAACAACACGATACTCAAAAACATGTTTTACATGATAATTTCTTGTAGAATATAAGGGTTGTAAGCTCCACCTCCTTGGCTCACGATGAATAAAAATAATCATCACAATTGAGATAGGGTGGGTGGGCGGGGCTTGTTTTTTTTTTGCTCTTAATATACGTAGTATTGTCTTCATAACATGAAACTAAAAACATGTTTAAAATTGTAAATTTTATCGCCCACAATTTTCTACAAATTTACAGTTTGAAACATATTTTCATTTTGTTCTGAAAAGAAAACTACGTACATATATTAAGAAAAAAAAAGGCAAAATACAAAGCCCGCCCACCCACCCTTTGCTTAGTTGTGACAACGTTTTTATTCATCCTCAAATCGAGGGGCGGAGCTTTGCAAAATGCTTATTTCTCTACAATAAACTACCATATGAAACATGTTTTTAAGTAACATGTTATTGAAAGAAAACGATATGTAGAGAAAAAAAGTTAAAAACGAAAGGTAAAAATCAAACCCCGCCCACCCGCCCTCATCTCAATTGTGATAACGTTTTTATTCGTTGTGAGCAGAAGGGCGGAGTTTAATAGCAAAATCCTTGTTTCTCCGCAAGAACTTTCCATCTGAAACATGTTTTTAAGTATGATGTTGAAAGAAACCGGTATATGTTAAGAAAAAAAAGCAAAGATGAAGCCCCACCCACCCACCCTGATCTCCTTTGTGATGAATTTTTCACGAAAACATGTTTTAAGTATTATCATGCAATTAAGCTCACGACGAATAAAAAAATCATCACAATCGAGATGGGGTGGGTGGGCGGGGCTTATATGTTCGTTTGTTTCTTAATTTGCGAAGTCATTTTTTCACTACTATAGCTTAAAACATGTTTAAAATGGTAAATTTGTGTAGGGAAATATGGATTTTTCAATTACGCTCCGCCTCTCGGTGTGACAACGAATGAAAAATGGATTACGATTTTACTTAATATACTTCGAACAACACGATACTCAAAAACATGTTTTGCATGGTAATTTCTTGTAGAGAGATAAGGAATTTAATCTTCACTCCCTTGGCTCACGATGAATAAAAATAATCATCACAATTAAGATGGGGTGGGTGGGTGGGGCTTGTTTCTTTTTCTTCTTAATATATATAGTCTTGTCTTCATAACATGAAACTAAAAATATGTTTCAAATGGTAAATTTTATCCTCTACAGTTCTCTATTACTTTACTCTTTTAAACATGCTTTCAGTTTCTTGTAAGAAGAAAACTAGGTACATGTATTAAGAAAAACAAGGTCAAATTCAAACCCCGCCCACCCGCCCTGTCTCAATTGTGATGAATTTTTCACGAAAACATGTTTTTGGTATTATCATGCAATTAAGCTCATTGTCATGCATCTTGGCTCACGATGAATAAAAAAAATCGTCACAATTGAGATAGGGTGGGTGGGCGGGGTTTATATTTTTTTTGTTTCTGAATCTACGTAGTCATCTTTTCAGAACAATAACTTTAAACATGTTTAAAATGGAAAATTTCTGTAGGGAAATATGGATTTTAAGCTCCACCCCTTGGCTCTCATGTCATGATGAATAAAAATAATCATCACAATCGAGATAGGGCGGGTGGAGCTTATGTTTTTTTTTCCTTAATATACATAGTCTTGTCTTCTCAACAAGAAACTGAAATTGTAAAATTCAAACCCCGCCCACCCGCCCTCATCTTAATTATCATAACGTTTTTATTCGTTGTGAGCCGGAGGGCGGAGTTTATTGCAAAATGCAAATTTCTCTATAAGAAACTACTAAATGAAACATGTTTTTAGTCCCTTAGTAGACCGTGTTAAGATGATGACATAACTGATTGCAAACACAAAATTTTATCATTTCAACTTATTGATTCATCAATTCGGTCTTCACTGATGGAATGAAAATCCCGTACTTGCCCTTATTTGATGCTGATACTCTTCGTCTTCATGTAAATCTTAATCTTGTGTACTACTTCCGTTTTAGTATTGTCGGACTTCTTCGATAGAACATCTTGAACTCTCTTGGTCCTTGTCAAAGGTTTTCTTCTATAATCCGGATGGAACTCTGCATTGTCTCAATTCATCACTGTAATGTTGCTTTGCCACGGGAATATTCTAAAACCTTCACAAAATTTTGTGAGCCGTCTTGTGACCGCAGTCAATACTACAATCGAAATTCTAGTGTCCCTTCTCCTGTTAGAACAGCATTTTTCCAGAGCCCTTTTGAGTTCCCACATCGAACCCACCTTCATCAATCCTGAGATCCAATTCTTGAATTAGTTTTTCACTTTTGAGACCTCCGTTCCTACGATCCAAAAACTTTGTAACATTTGTCAGCATCGTGGACCGTACATTTCGGGAGTCCAAAAGTTAGACAATTCTAAAATTGGTACGTAAGGCCAGCCAGGGAAGAAAGTACTGAGTGGACCGTCAGATGAGTGCAGACGGGTTTAGTTTGATGGTACTGTTTTTGGCCATTCCCCAAAAACGTCGAGTTCGGGCGCCAGTTTTTTTGCAAATTTACTTCAAGAGTACCGAGTGCCTCTTAGCTAAAGTTTGTTGCTAGTACGGTTTGGAACGTGATTAACCAATTTGGTACGCCACCCTATTCAATTTTGCCAATTTTCTTCCAGATCTTGCACCTCTCCCAAATAATGACCGAAGTTGGCCAATGCCGCGCATGGATCCGTTTAGCCTTAAACGACTGCCTGCTTTCCTCTTACCTCATGACGATGCGCCGGGACCCTGGAGCTTTGAAAACCTTCTACCGCCCCACTGCATACGTCCGAGACAGCGAGCTTTTGGACGTAGCTCAAAGGCTAATCGAAGGAGTAGAGGCCTTCAAGTCCTTCACTTTACCATGCAACTCCAGCCTTTTGAACACTTGGCAGTTGCCAAGTCTCTACCTGGCCGGTATTTGGGCACCCACCCTGAAAGCCTGTCCCGTAGCCCCCTGCGACGACGTAGCTCAAATGGTCGAAGAAATCAAAGCCGTACCGGAAAGCAACTCGGAAACGTGTTCGTTAAGCTCGGCGATGTCCATAACGTCGCAGAATTCAGGGTTGAGGCAAATGGTGGCGCTCAATGAAGATGAAGCTTTGAAGATAATTCTGGCGAAGCATAAAGATACAGGCGTGGATAATAAAAATTTGGAGAAAAGTGACGAAATGAAGTCGTCGCTTTCCGAGAGTGAAGGGAGAAGTAGTGATTCGGAAAATGTTAATTATAACTTAGGGAATTCGCTGAATAGGAGAACAGGGTGGTCGTTTGATGAGAGTCAGCCGGTTGAAGAGGTTGAAGAGTCGGCTTCGAATGTCGAAGAAATCGCGCCTCCAAAGAAAACGGAATCTAAGTCAATGGAAGGGAGTTTCAACGCGTTGATTGAAAGTTATAGTATGTTAAGTGGGGCGTATATTAAAACACCAGATTTGAGAGAAGTTTGGCAGAAGTTCGAAGATCATAAAATTAACGAAACAGATACACCAAATAATAATAATGTAGTGTAGACTATTTTATGTTACTTAAGTTGCTAACAGATTACTTACAGGTTGGACAATCAGAGACTTTTGAAAGCGTTGATTCTTTGTTGGTCAAAACTGCGATACCATTAGCAACACAAATCGGTAAAATTTGTAGGGAACGAGGTTTAGATACACAAAATTATGAGTGCGCAGGCTGTAAACACCCTTTAGCAGTTACCACAAAACCTAGGTATTCGATAGTTTGACTTACTTAACACAGGTTAATGTTGTTTTTACAGAGCATGCGCATTCACGGGTGAGTATTTCTGTGATTCTTGTATGAGTGAAGAGGAGATCCCAATTCCCGCCCGAATTATCCACAATTGGGACTTCAAACCCTACCCTGTGTCACAGAAGGCCTTCAATTACATAAACGAAGTCAAAGATCACCCAACTATAGACTTTAAAGTTAGTATAGACGAAAATTTAGTTTTATTATGAGTGACGCATGTGAACGAGCGATGGGTGTAGTACCTTAAGTGATTTTAGGTTCTAAATCCTTACGTTTATGGCGTCGTTGAAGAGATGGCGCAACTTCAAATCCTTAGAAACCAATTAAATTTCCTTCGAGCCTACTTATATACGTGCAGAGAGCCTATAATAGAACAATTACAGAAGCAAATGTGGCCACGTGAATACATGTACGAACACGTGCATCAATATTCCATTTCGGTAAGTGCATTATTGCATAATCTCACTCTATTATTATTATTATTTTTTGTTTTGCTTTTTAAGGATTTGGCAGAAGTATCTAGTGGCGCTTTGGCCCAACATTTACAGTCAGTAGTTACCTTCGGCAAAGACCACGTGGTGGGTTGTTGGCTGTGTAGTCAAAAGGGTTTCGTCTGTGAAGTTTGCAACAAACCCAAAGCATTATTTCCATTTGATGTCGAAAATATTTATCGCGTAAGTTGGTTTAGTCAAAGTCGGCTTAAGTTAAGTCGTTGTTTCAGTGTGATGATTGTAACGCCGTGTATCATAAAGGATGCCTTAATTCATCTAAACCTTGTCCAAAGTGTAAAAGAAGAAAGGAGAGGGAAGACTTGCCCCTCCTTGGTGCTACAATTGAGTGACTTCGTTTCGTTATTTTATCGTTTTTGGAGTGGTTGTCATTGCTTGAATGATTGTTTTAACAAATTTTTAACGAGTATAATTAATTTTCCATCACAAGTGTTTTAGTTTTAACATGTCGAAAATTTTGCCCCTATTAAACTTATAAAAACGCGTTAAATTGCATATTTCCATAGGTACAAGTTAAATTTCTAAACTGATTGGATATTTATTTCTTAACAACACAGTCATTAATTTTTCTGGAACATCTGTATAAGCAAATTAAAAAAAAAAATTCAAACATCACTTCTGTCATGTCAAAAATTTTAATGTAGTCTATGCTTTATTGTCATTATTTCGGACAGCTGGAATGTCAAACTTTCAAAATTCCAGCTTACGCTACATTCATGTATAGTGAACCAAGAGTTATAAGGTTATATGGCCATCATAAAATCATCCCATTGTGTCGAAGTTAAGTTGTTTACAATAGAAAAGGTTTTAGGGTCGTAAATAACGTGTCCACTGCAGCTCGACCGGCTCTTGTGGTTTCGTTCAGGGGCGGCTTTCACTAAATATGAAAATCCACCACTCCACTATCTCTTTACAACCTGCAGCCGCTGAGGGTTCCGAAATAACCACTTGCTTTGAAAGCCAGCCCTGTTAAATATGAGCAAGAAATGTTTAGAAGATGATTTATTGCCAACCGGTAAGCTTAGTGCGAATCACACAAAGGGGGTATTTATTTCCGGTCAACTACTTTTATGATGGCCATATAACCTTATAGCTCTTGGTTCACTATAAGCGTCAAATATAAAAGTTAAAAATGACCGTCAAATATTTAGGTTAGAAGCATCTAAAGGTTGCTTTACACTATCTGACGACTGAATGACATTGACATCTGAAATTTTTTGGCGGCAACTGTATATAAAAAACAGTATAGAATCATCATATTTTGCACATTTATAATCAGGTATATTTAGCAATATTTTGAGGTGACGTCATCAATTTGTTAGGGGGGGGTGAGCAATACATTTTGATCAAAAATTTGCAGCAACAGTAACAACAAAGCTAGTCGTTCCTCAAGTCACAATAATTTGTCCACAATTTTTTATTATATATCTAAATGATCAGTCACTTTCCATTAGCAACAAAAAAAAGAGTTCAAGGAGCTACTTTGAAGACAATATAATTGTTCATTACTATTTATAGATGGTTTTAATAATTGTAACTTGTACGCAAAATTCTAACCTAGAAACATTAATTTTCATTAACACATAGTTAAAAATCTCTAATTCAAACATGTTGGGGGTAATAACGGCCATTTTTTATTGGAAGTGAGTCTATTAATTACAAATATACAAATATAATACAAAAATTAAATAAAAATAAACGTAAGTAGTAACAATGGAATGTAGTCGCAAGTTGAATTAAGTCAAGACAATTTGGTCCCTACAAAACTACAACAACGGTTAAGTTCAGCTACCTACCAGACATACTCTCTGAATAACATTTTAAAATGACATAAAACTAAATATGACACACTGTTAACATTAAACTATGTAAGTAAAAAACATTTAACAAATCAGTTACTACTTAGTAGTTTTAGTATCAGTTAAGGCACGATGGCTGCTTCGTAGAGGCAAAGGTGACGAAGGGGTTTTAGGACTCGCAGGTTTGGATTTTTTCTTGCCGTGAAGTCCTTGAATGTTCCTTTGGTGGGCGTAAAGTAGTACCCCGATATGTCTATGACCTGCTTCCATAGCGATTTTCAGCGCAGTGCTGCCATCCTGAAAGCGGCACACAATATAGCGATAATCAGGCGCACCAACATTTACTTACAACATCAGTAATACTGGAATCACAATCGGGCTGACTTAAGAAATGTTTAACGATATCGATATGCCCATGTTCCGCTGCGCACATCAAAGCAGTGCTGCCATCTTCGTCTTGGATATTGATGTCCGCACCTGCTTCTAACAACATTTTCACCATTTCTAAGCTGCCGTGGCTCACCGCTAACATTAAAGCAGTTTGGCCATGCTACCAAAACAACAATTAGATTTCTAAGTCTACAAAAAGCAAAAATCGACATACTTGCTTTGCTCTGATGTTAACATCAGCCAATTGGAAGAGCCTACGTACGACACTGGCGTGTGTCTGAGACCTGACTTTAACCAATGATACCAACATAACACTTGTATAACCAGCCTTATTCGGTTTATTAATATCACAAACTTTTGAATCGAGTAGGATGGATACAACATCGAAATTCCCATGGGATACAGCGTAGTGCATTGCCGTATTGCCACTTTCATCAGTCATATTGACAACGTATTGCAGGAGGACAGAAGACACATCTTCAAAAGCGTCTAAGTAATCTTCAACATCTAGCGGGTTTGCCGTGTTAAGGCTTGATATTTTAAACCATTCTTGTTCCACTATGTTAATTGCATTATGGTTTTTAAGATTCTTGCTTTGATTGGTTTGACTTTTTTGGAGGGAGTCGTTCAGTACTTTCATCGCACCTTGCATTTCCTTACTTGGCACAGCTCTGGAAAGAAGGCGCCGTGTTTTCAAAAATTACAACTGAATTTCAAAATAATTACGATATCGATCAGCTAACAAGATTATCTCTGAGGGGTTTCGTGAAAAGTATCAGGTTTCAGAACATCCAATAGAAACAGCACATGCATCTCGTAAGTGAAAATAAAATAAAATGCGAGACGTAGAAGTATTCTTGATTCATATTAATCCGGGCTTGCGCACATCGTCATTTTCGTAGACACGACAAATTAATACGATTACTCTCAATAATAAAAGCAAATAAGCAATTGCAACATCAACAAATTACATAAAAGTGTTCACAAAGTTTATTTTGATTACTAAATACATCTAAGATCTTTCGATAAGTTTGTTTCTAGTGGATTGTCTGAAAATGAAATAAGAGTAGTAAATACGGTAATGACTATTTCCTAAGTTTGGTGGTTCGAAAATCGGCGCGGGAAATGTAAATCGACCAATAGTGACACAGGCAGCAAAAAGCTTGCTTGTTATTGGAAGACCTTGAACCTTGACCTTCACGGTCACCACTAGCATTAGCTAGGCGTTATACGTCATACTGGCGCGTAATTAAAATTTTATTTTTGTGGTCGTTATATAACACTGAAGAAAATTAAACTTTTAACTTGTTCGTGTCACTTGGAGCATAATTGAAACCCACTGTCATACATATAAAAATATAACCGATTTTTCTTTTATTTTATCAAACTACTCACTTTTTCCTGTGTGATTGAGCAGCTGCAGGGTTAAACAGAGTTGTCTCCGGTAATGGCAGTGTAGATTCTTGTATTTGCACTTTTGTAGGTGGCGTATTGACACCATTTTGAGCGTGTGCTGCAACTTCAGGTAGTTTAAAATTCTGCTTGACTTTATCTAGCGGATTCGATAGCTCGTTCGACGGAGACTTCGGGGACAAATCGAGCCCGGACAACCTGTACAAAACCCATACAACATAAAAATTACATAACAGCAAGCTTTACCTCGTCAAAAGAATATGTTGATGCATATATGAGCAATGCGCATTTTGATTAATGCACTCGTTTGAACTTATCATTCGGTTAAAAATGAAAGAAAACCATATTATTTGCTGGGATACATCGGAATATTAACCCTGCGATAGTGATGATTTTGTTTTGGTTGTATCATCAATAGTATTCGGTAGTTGCGCGCATGCGTCAAACAATTAATTGATTGGTGGAGTAGAACCATCCCCTTCTGACACAAATTTTCACCAATTTTTAAGTTGTCAAGGTCACAGTCGTGAGAAGTTTACTAGTACGAGGAGTGCAAAATCCGCTACACTTGTGGTTAAAGAAACCACAATAGACTAGTAGATGTAACAATAATTGTAACGAAACCACAATATCTCGGTTTCCTCCACACAACAGCACTCACTTAATTAGTAGCTTCATTTTTTTTAGATTAGAATTACGTAGCACCAATGAGTGTGACTGGCGGTAGCGTGACGATAGAAAATTCCATGGGAGTGGGTAAAAATAACGACGATTTTAATTCTCTTAATTGGATCTGCACGATACATGTTGCGACTGTTATAATTACAACCTAGACGTTTTTACTTAATGGGATAACCGCCATTACGCATGATAAAACTGTAATTATGTCATTACAGGGCTTCCATATCGAATTTGCATTGAAATGACGCAAAACGGTTTCAAAAGATTATGAATAAAACGCCTTAATTTTTTTTGTCACGTTCGAATTGTGTTTGCGCCACTTCGCTATAAACACTTGACTCCACAGTGTAACTAAATCATTAGATGAAACTATCACTTGGATTTATTGATTGGAATGTACACTAATACCCACAGGACGTACTATTACTACTAGTCAAAATCGAACTTACCCTAGCGTCGACGACACGGGCGATTTATCCGTCGGAGAAGAATATATTTTCGTATAAGTATCTTGCCGTCTGAACTTTCTATTTTCCACCGGCGTTGTTGGTATTTGCGGTCTCGGAATCTTGGACGGCGCGGGCGTTCCATCCTTCTTCGCAACCTCTTCCTTTTCTCTATTCGTGCACCTCACACAAACGTTTTTCTCGTCTGTGGTATTACAAGCAACATCCACAGCGTTTTTGCGTTCTTTGGCTTCACATGCAACGTGCCGGGTCGGTGTTAACAGATCTTTGGTATCGGTATCCCTCGAAACGGAAAAACTCTCATACTGCGTATTTTTATGCACTGACTTAACCTCCCATTGCGAGGCTTTGGAAACCGTCTTAGTTTCGCATTGGCACGCCCTACTGACGCCGTTCGCCTCGTACTGCGACCCTTTAGCCACCCCTTGCGACTCGTGTTGACAGGCCACAGTGCGACTCCTGGACGAGAAATTAAGTCTGTCGTCTCCCAAGTTGAACGACTTGCTCCTAGGCCCCATAAGCAACGCCAGAGACACCGGACTCGTATGCGCATCTTCGCTACTATCCGGCCCTATGCCTATACTACACTTAAAAACGTTACACTTCTCACAAATGACATCACTGATGGTATCATCCGACGTGCCTACATTGTAAACCTCCACACTTTTCTGAACACTGAAGTCTCTGCGCTGGGGGAAAGCCGACACGCTTGCGTCCGAATAGTGCTTTTTGGTGTCGGCGGTTTGGGTGGAAGTTGCGATTTTTGCAAGTTTTGCGATTGTCTGACTAGCGACTCCGCGGGAGTCTTTGGATGGGGTTTGGGTCGACGTGGATACATTGTTTGCTAAATTTTGACTATTCATGAATTTGATTTTTTCGTTGAACCATTTATCGACGGTTAGGTCGTCGAAGGTGGTCGTGGATACGGTTTTAGTATTGGGGTTTTGGTGACCGACGCCTACGTTGCGAGTGAGCACCCCGCAATTCACACCGAAATCTTTACGCGGGGGCGGCGGCGGCGGCACTTTTTTACCATCCAAACTATCGATGTTGGTGAAGGACTGGGACTTCATGCGGTTGTTCGACGGAAAACGGATGTAGTTGGCGTTGATGGAGTTTTGAGTCTCTTCGGCTTTCAGCTGGAGGACGAGCCGGCGGTTTTCTTCTTTAAGAGACAATAGTTGGTCCTGTGGGAAAGTGATATCAATGAAACGTATGCATTATGTCGTAGGGGCTTATACGGTCTAGCGATTTTATAATAATAGTAATAATACGGAGTAGCGTGCTTCAGCCAGTTGCTATAATTGTATTAATTTTTGTGTAGATACGTGAACAAAACGTTTTGTAGAAAGAAAAAGCGACGAGTGTCTCGAGTCAAAATATACAGTTGAGTCAAGGGTCCGTTTTAGGACCAATTTGTTTTCCTATTTATATCAACGACTCGGAACGTACAATTATGGAAACTTAGATTTGCGCCTGTGTGACATACTTGATTTAAACACATTATGTCTATTGTGGTGCAAATTACTGTCACCGTACTGACAAAATTACCCCTTTTTATAAATCGGCTGCATAACGACACCGGTAAATATATTTTATATCTTAACGCAGTCTGATCTCCTGGTACCTTAGTCGAGGTGAATCGATGCCGGAAAGATTTAATTTTGCTTGATAAAGTGACGCTTATTTGCACCACAATGGACATAACGAAAACAAACAAACGAGTTAGAAATTTGTGTATAGTTTTATTCCACAAAAATAAAAATTTGTTCGTCACTCTTCGCTGCACATCGTTAAAATTCGTCAGCAATTTTTCATGCTGCATTCGTACTGCATTTTTCGTCCTTGTGATTTCTATTACATCTAATTGGTGTGCTTCGTTCATGCATTCACTCATTTCAATACACTGTGAACAGAAAAACATGAGTGGAAAAGTCTGTTTCGAATTTTTTTTTTTACAACGAAATATACATCGGATATAAAAAAAGTTCAATTATTGTTCACCGTTATAATAATTTAACGCGGAACACTTTATTATTCAATGAACGTTTAATGATAGCGGTTCGTGAGGATGAAGTTTGCCACACGAGCGGTAACGCTGCTACCACGCATATTTCGCCAAAAAAAGTAAATTTATTACACAAATAACTGGTTGGTATGAAAATTAAATTACATCATTAAAAATTATGAAGATTTAAAGATGCTTTTTTCAACAAGTTTCGAGGTCTTCGGATTAAATACGATAATATACTTATTACCACCGAAAAAGTGATATGCGCCTGCGCGATATGCAATAAAGATGACTTAGACCAAGCGGCCTACTAATGGAATTGCGAATACAATGAATTTTATGCGGATTTTACAATTGTTATAAAAAGTTCTTTGTACTCATAATTGTGTCGCATTCCACTAATACAACGAGCGAAATGAATTAAATTTATGAGGTGCTTTATAGCTCCCAAATGGATTATGTATTGGTAGCACGTTAACTACTTTTGCTTTTCTGGGAACTATTTAATAAATTATTCCTTAATTGTGGTTTTTATTTACAGGTTGTGCCGAAATAGAAATTCGGATGGGAGAGTAATTATCATAAATCTTTAAACTTAATACTCCAAATTCTACTTAAATGAAACCTGTTCATTTTTTTTTTATGATGAAGAATAAGTAAAAAAATGACATGGATTTTTTCTAACAATTTTAACCGTTTTGTTGAGGTTATGATTTAACGATTTCCAGAACGCGTAATTAAAAAAGCGAACAATTTTCAGACCAATATACCATTGATTCGAAACTCATTCATGCATACATTCGACTGAAACTTGTCACGCTAGTTGTTTCCTAGAATTCGATTTCTGTGAAGCGAAATTACCGAAACCTGAGTTCGTACTGCTTCAATCAATTATGTACTTAAACATAGAAGCCATGAAACTTTTTTTCAAAATCTTTATCAAAGCTTGACTTGCTCTAGTCGTGTATTTAGTCCTTTAAAGAATTTCAGCCAGCGACTTGTCGCCAACCATGGCGCCAAACCTTGTCCCTTGTTACCGCAGACATCAATAAAAGTTTTAAAAACTGGAAATAGTTGCAATAATTTTCTCAGAACATCTGGGGACAGCCAGAAGCGGCGGACAAGCTGTCAAAGACGCCACAGTTGATTCACAACTTAAACATAAAGGCGCAATTACACAATTGTCTGGCGGACCGGTCTCGAAAATAATAAATCTTGCATTGTAGTCCGTCACCTGCTCACTCTTTACGAAAATAAAATTTGATTGTTGTTATTAACCAATTAGAGTAATTGCGTCTTAACAAATACCTAAAATTAACCCCTTTAATACGGAAGTAATTTGAAGATAGTGATATTTTATGGATGGGTTCACTGACACGACTGTCAATTCTATACATATTTTATAAGAAAATCGATACAAAACTTACAATATTTAGAACGAAGCAATCATATCTACTATTTAATTTGTTTAATTCGGCTGTTTTTATATATTGAGGCAAATGGGTCAATTTTCCAATGTACGTTACACTATAATCACCAAATGTTTCGTATTTTCGTAAATTTAAAAGCGTTCATTTGTGAAAATTGCAAAATAAATTTAAAAAGGAAACAACACACTAGTGAGGTAAGCAACTTACGTTAATAGAATTAATGAGGTAATCGTCTATCCCGTCAATTATCGGTCGTCACAAAAACAAAGACATCTGCTTACTGAAAGCTCGTGCGATAGAACCCTAAATAATGACTCAATATCCTTGAAATATTAAATACCTAACCACGTGCTCGCAAGAGGACACCCCTCGGAAAATTACGAGATAAAAGCACAACAAAAGCTCTTAATATTTAATTTGCTCAAAAAAACACAGATAGTAGAATCAATAAGATATGTTTTAAAATTATAATTAACGTCCACGCACCGGCCCATGTAGGATCAATACGAAATAAAAAGACCGAGTCATAAGTGAGTCAACGAAAGCACAAAATCGACCCTAGATATAAAATAGTAAAAACATGTGAATGCACACTCGAGCGATAGCGAGCAATTGTTCAAATACATTATTATGCAAAGAACGCTTCCTACGAAAACACAACAACCGTGCGAAAATAAAAGTAATCTACGATCTGCTACAGTTTAACGCACTTGATTCGAACGGAAACCGGAAGCGCTCTATTGATCACAGCTAAAAACTAAAACGTACCTTCAGTTGCGGGATTAGTTTAACTTGGTCTTCTAAGTTCCTCGTCCTTTCTAAGCTGATTGCCATTTGTTCTCTTATGCTTTGTAAAGCCAAAGGGCTCAAACCGCATGATTCTATACTGACGGTGTCGAAGTCGCGATTCGTCGTTTCAGGCAACACAGTCATGCTCGAGCCGGAGGCCGAAGACATCGAGGAGTTCGACGGCGCCCTTTTGATGGTCTCTGGACATAACAAAGTTCGGTCAAAACAGCGCACCCACACACAATAGAAATTTTCGGATAATTTCGGATCAATATAAATTATTTTATCTACATATATAATTAGTGTGCGAATCGCGACGTAGCAAAACAAAAGCACCGAAGTACACACACGGTATAAGTCCACGCGCTCCATGTTACTTAAGTCACATTGTTTTTAAAAACCGAAAACACTGGTTCGTTCATTGTATATCTACAATAAAACTATTTAACTCAGACAGGAAAGTTGTAAAGTTAGCGAGGTATAACCGTCGCGCGCATGCGCGCTACTCGAACGGGTTATCTTTTGAAGGATCATGATGTGGAACGGCCGATGGGAGCTTTCTTCGCAATTTACGTCATTTACTATAATTCTGATGAGTTATCGTGGCGATCTGCACATAACTGTAGTTACACAGTTAAGTCGTCGACTGAGTAATTGTTGCGAAAATTGAATTCCCGCCAAAATTTCACGCACGTTGTGTGTACCAATCACAAACAAGCCCCAATATTTGCACAATTGGCAAACAAAAACTCAATGTCGCACTATGCGACAGAAGAAAAGCTTGTAAAGGACGCGATGTAATCAATATTTACGGTCTATTCTTAATCGCTAATTCAATTTTCTATTTCACCACTTGCTCAACGCGTTATCGCAATTTTGTCTCTTATTAATGGAAGTTATGCTTTCGAGGCCGAATTTTTCACATGAGATGTCTTCGTAAATGAAAAATTAACAGCCAGTATTTATGAAATGCATGATATTCTATGCAGTGTATTATTATATATCTTTTTAAACGATCGTGCAAAAGGAGGGGCTATTGTGAGAAGGTTTCCATTGTTTTTCTCCATTGTCTTCTTTCAAATATTTAGAACTTTCAGGAAGGGGCATAACCCATTTACCATAATATTGGCATTATTATGTCATCAACGTGGAAGCAGTTGTCATAAAGTTTAGTTTGTAATTGTGTGTAAAATAAATGGCTATTTCGTGCCGGGGAGATCTTTGAAACACTTATTATACACTGGTGTTGCGTGTTGTTTTACTTTTGTTTTCTAACAAAATGCTAATGAAGTACCAAAAATCACTACACAAAGATAAAATAAATTAGAATATTTATTTGGGCTAATTAAATTACACACATTTGTTGCTATAGCGACGATATGTCAAACTCTGTTAACGTAAAAAAATCTCTGTCACCATTTAACTTGCCCCAAATAACTATCTTTACTTGTTATTATATTTACACGTATTATATTTTTGGTTCGTCACTTTATCATGACTTTGTACATCTTGAAAATATGTAAAATGGCAAACAAAACTTAGCGACAAGGAAACGTCGCTTGCGTCAAAATTTTCAGGAGATTTGTTTATTATAACCTATACACCAACGTGGGTTTAGCCAGAATTCATAGCAGTAAAAATTTAGGTTAACACCATTGTGTCGTTCAGTTTTGGAGCACGTGAAGTGAAATCTATGAAAGCATTTTTATTTATTTATATTTATTAATTTATTGTATGTATTTCTCTTCCTGTCGAAATTGGGAGACTTTCACCATTATCATCACTTTTTTACAAACAAAAAATACTTCATGTCATGATTTTTCGACTTCTTTAAAAAAAATCATATCTTGACAGTTGGAAAATTTGAAATATGGTTTTATTGTCAATCTTACGTACAGTGTGTTAAAAACGTATGCAACAACAAAAACAATTAAACAATGCACTGATATCCGTTTACTTTTAAGTTTGCATAAACACTGGATTCATATTTTTATCACAACTGCAAAATTAGTAACATTGTTTGAAAATATTATTATGTAAAATTTTTGAAAATTCTCTTTAACGTAAATACTCTGGGGTATTTGTTGTGCCTGAGAGAAGAAAGAAGTTTAGCGCAAATAATTTTACATCCACTTGTGGATTCAGAGAAAGTAAAAATTAACATCAGTAAATCGTGTTAATTGTTACCTTACAGCGAACCGCGTAAGCTAAGGAAGTATTGTAATTGAGTCCATCGGACGAATTGCCACTTTTATTTTCTCGACGTTTTATGGCACCTAGAGTACGAAAAAAGAAGTCCCCAGTTTTCGTCTGTCTGTCTGTCTGATGTCTGTACCCATTTTTATTGGACACGTAATCTTCGAAACTGCTGGAGTGATTGTTGTTAAATTTTGTGATGGTTAAGTGCTACCCAAAATTTTGTTAATCATCCCCACCAGCAATTCGATGACGTCATTTAAAAAGAATTCTAAGTTTATTTGATTTAACTGTTATACAACAATAACAGCTAACCGTCCAAATTTTTGCAAAAACATAATGCATGGAATAATACCGGTTTACCATTACCGTAAGGCATCCCGGTAGTGGTCTAGTGGTTACGAGTCAGGAATGCGGATCGGACGTCGCGCGTTCGATTCCAAAATTGGCCTTTCGGTTTTTTTTTTCTCTTTTTCTCTGGCGTTGTGTATTATCCATGTTTACGACGTCATATGAATTTTTTTATTGATGAAATTGCCCCACTTTCTCGAAAACGTATTCGCTCCCCTTTTTATTTCAAAATGTAAAACCTTCTCGGATGTCCTAACTGTCTTTTTTTAAAATGTAAAACCTTCTCGAAGGTCTCAACTGTCTTTTTTAAGAATGTAAAACTTTCTCGAGGGTCCCAACTGTCTTTTTTAAAAATGTAAAACCTTCTCGGGGCCGCCAAATGTCTTTTTTTTTTAATGGGAAACTTTCTTGGGGGTCCCAACTGTCTTTTTTAAAAAAGTAAAACGTTCTCGGGGTCGCCAAATGTATTTTTTTTATGTAAAACCTTCTCCGGGGTTCCAATCGCCTTTTTTAAAAATGTAAAACCTTCTCGCGGGTTCGAATTGTCTTTTTTAAAAACGTAAAATCTTCTTGAGGGTCCCAACTGTCTTTTTTAAAAATATAAAATCTTCTCGGGGCCGCCAAATGTCTTTTTCTTTAATGGGAAACTTTCTCGAGGGTCCCAACTGTCATTTTTAAAAATGTAAAACGTTCTCGGGGTCGCCAAATGTATTTTTTTTTATGTAAAACCTTCTCCGGGGTTCCAATCGTCTTTTTTAAAAATGTAAAACCTTCTCGCGGGTCCCAATTGTCTTTTTTAAAAATGTAAAACCTTCTCGCGGGTCCCAATTGTCTTTTTTAAAAATGTAAAACCTTCTCGGGGCCGCCAAATGTCTTTTTTTCATGGGAAACTTTCTCGAGGGTCCCAATTGTCTTTCGTAAAAATGTAAAACCTTCTCGGGGTCGCCAAATGTATTTTTTTTACGTAAAACCTTCTCCGGAGTTCCAATTGTCTTTTTTAAAAATGTAATACCTTCTCGCAGGTTCCAATTGTCTTTTTTAAAAATGCAAAACCTTCTTGAGGGTCCCAACTGTCTTTTTTAAAAATGTAAAACCTTCTCGGGGCCGCCAAATGTCTTTTTTCATGGGAAACTTTCTGGAGGGTCCCAATTCTCTTTCTTAAAAATGTAAAACCTTCTCGGGGTCGCCAAATGTATTTTTTTTTTATGTAAAACCTTCTCCGGGGTTCGAATTGTCTTTTTTAAAAATGTAAAGCCTTCTCGCGGGTTCCAATTGTCTTTTTTAAAAATGTAAAACCTTCTTGAGATTCCCAACTGTCTTTTTTAAAAATGTAAAACTTTCTCGGGGCCGCCAAATGTCTTTTTTTTTAATGGGAAACTTTCTCGAGGGTCCCAACTGTCTTTTTTAAAAATGTAAAACCTGAGGGTCGCCAAATGTATTTTTTTTATGTAAAACCTTCTCCGGGGTTCCAATCGTCTTTTTTAAAAATGTAAAACCTTCTCGCGGGTCCCAATTGTCATTTCTAAAAATGTAAAACCTTCTCGGGGCCGCCAAGTGTCTTTTTTTTCATGGGAAACTTTCTCGAGGGTCCCAATTGTCTTTCTTAAAAATGTAAAACTTTCTCGCGGGTTCCAATTGCCTTTTTTAAAAATGTAAAACCTTCTTGAGGGTCCCAACTGTCTTTTTTAAAAATGTAAAATCTTCTCGGGGTCGCCAAATGTCTTTTTTTTTAATGGGAAACCTTCTCGGGGGTCCCAATTGTCATTTTTAAACATGTAAAATTTTCTCGGGGGTCCCAACTGTCTTTTTAAAATGTAAAACCCTCTGGGGGGATGTATTTTTTTTTAATGCGAAACCTCGGGGTCCCCAAATGTATTTTTTTATGTAAAACCTTCTCCGGGGTTCCAATTGTTTTTTTTTTAATGTAAAACCTTCTCGCGGGTTCCAATTGTTTTTTTAAAAATGTAAAACCTTCTTGAGGGTCCCAACTGTCTTTTTTAAAAATGTAAAACCTTCTCGGGGCCGCCAAATGTCTTTTTTAATGGGAAACTTTCTCGAGGGTCCCAATTGTCTTTTTTAAACATGTAAAACCTTCTCGAGATCGCCATATGTATTTTTTTATGTAAAACCTTCTCCGGGGTTCCATTTGTCTTTTTTAAAAATGTAAAACCTTCTTGAGGGTCCCAACTGTTTTTTTTTTTTAATGGAAAACCTTCTCGGGGGTTCCAATTGTCTTCTTTAAAAATGTAAAATTTTCTCGGGGGTACCAACTGTCTTTTTTTAAAATGTAAAACCCTCTGGGGGATGTATTTTTTTTAATGCGAAACCTTCTCGGTGGCGCCAAATGTGTTTTTTTAAGGTGAAACCTTCTGGAGGGTCTAAAGTGTATTTTTTAAAAATATAAAACCTTCTCGGGGGCGCCAAATGTCTTTTTTTTTTAATGGGAAACCTTCTCGAGCCCCCAATTGCCTTTTTAAAAAATGTAAAACCTTCTCGGTGCTTCATCTCTCTTTTTTTTTAATGGGAAACCTTTTCGAGGGTCCCAACTGTATTTTTTAAAATGGAAACCTTCTCGAGGCCACCAAATATCTTTCTTAAGAATGTGAAACCTTCTCGTGGGTCCCAATTGTCTTTTTTAAAATTGTAAAACCTTCTCGGGGTCGCCAAATGTTTTTTTTTTTTTTTATGTGAAACCTTCTCTGGAGTCCCAACTGTGTTCTTTAAAAAGGTAAAACCTTCTCGGGGTTGCCAAATGTTTTTTTTTTTTAATGTGAAACCTTCTCTGGGGTCCCAACTGTCTTCTTTAAAAAGGTAAAACCTTCTCGGGGGTCCCTACTGTCTTTTTTAAAAATGTAAAACCTTCTCGGTGCTTCATCTCTCTTTTTTTTTAATGGGAAACATTTTCGAGGGTCCCAACTGTATTTTTTTAAAATGTAAACCTTCTCGAGGCCACCAAATATCTTTCTTAAGAATGTGAAACCTTCTCGTGGGTCCCAATTGTCTTTTTTAAAATTGTAAAACCTTCTCGAGGTCGCCAAATGTTTTTTTTTTTTATGTGAAACCTTCTCTGGAGTCCCAACTGTCTTCTTTAATAAGGTAAAACCTTCTCGGGGTCCCTACTGTCATTTTTAAAAATGTAAAACCTTCTCGGGGCCGCCAAGTTTTTTTTTTTAATGGGAAACCTTCTCGAGGGTCCCAACTGTTTTTTTAAAAATGTAAAACCTTCTCCGGGGTTCCAATTGTCTTTTTTAAAAATATAAAACCTTCTCGAGGGTCTCAACTGACTTTTTTAAAAATGTAAAACCTTCTCGGGGCCGCCAAACGTATTTTTTTAGATGTGAAACCTTTTTGAGGGTCCAAATTATGTTTTTTAAAAATGTAAAACCTTCTCGGGGCCGCCAAATGTTTTTTTTTTAATGCGAAACTTTCTCGAGGGTCCCAACTGTCTTTTTCAAAAATGTAAAACCTTCTCGGGGTTGCCAAATGTATATTTTTTTATGTAAAACCTTCTCCGGGGTTCCAATAGTCTTTTTTAAAAATGTAAAACCTTCTCGAGGGTCCCAACTGTCTTTTTTAAAAATGTAAAACCTCGGGGTCGCCAAATGTCTTTTTTTTAATGGGAAACCTTCTCGGGGGTTCCAATTGTCTTTTTTAAAAATGTAAAATTTTCTCGGGGGTCCCAACTGTCTTTTTTTAAAATGTAAAACCCTCTGGGGGGTTGTATTTTTTTTAATGCGAAACCTTCTCGGGGGCGCCAAATGTGTTTTTTTTAATGTGAAACCTTCTCGAGGGTCCCTATTGTCTTTTTTAAAAATGAAAACCTTCTCGAGGCCACCAAATGTCTTTTTTTAATGGGAAACCTTCTCGAGAGTCCCAACTCTCTTTTTTAAAAATATAAAACCTTCTCGGGGGAGCCAAATGTATTTTTTTAAATGTGAAACCTTCTCGGGGGTCCCAACTGTCTTTTTTAAAAATGTGAAACCTTCTCGGGGGAGCCAAATGTATTTTTTTTTTTAATGTGAAACCTTCTCGGGGGTCCCAATTGTGTTTTTAAGAAGTGAAATCTTTTTTTCTATTATACTGCGACTAGTACCTTCTATACTGTTTTTACTTCATAGAGGTTATCAGGAGAAAGTAAAATTCCGCAAAATCAAATTTTATATTTTTTAGAGGAGATGTATTTGTTGGGCTGTGCTTCAGAAGCGAGAGTTGAAATAACTCTCAACCAATTTTTTTTAATTGTTTTTTTTTTTTTATTATATTTGTCTTTTATTTAACCCAAATGTAGAGCTTGAAGTTATCGTTACCATTGTGGCGGCACAATAATACGTAGTAGTAAGCGAGGAAAGATAAGCTCCTCTGTAGTCTAATGGTAAGGGCACCCGCCCGGCATGCGGTAAACGTGCGATTCGATTTACCAACACCATCATCAATAGTTCTTACTCTGTTTATAATGTCAAACGATGCAGATGAAGTTGCGACACAGGTCATAAAATCCAGAAAATAATTGCAGCAATTTTGCGATTGTTCGCAAGACGTGAGCAATGAATGGCATTATTCACCACGGACAGAAAAATATTTTTATACCGCGTAATCTCGCCAAATGAGTCAAAGCTTTCAGGAAACGCTTCCGGACTGTAGAAAAATAAGCAACCGACTGTATGTTAACACAAACAGTTCCGCAAAACTTCATTAATTGTACCCCTGCACTCAACCATAATAAAAAACCACCGTGACGCATCGCTTTCAACTTTAGCCGTTCCATTTAACTTAACCGTTTAAATAATCACGGCAACAAATTCAAGGTTTCCGTTATTTCCGATCTTGTCCAGTCATCGCCGGCGCCCATAAATCAAAAAACTTTGCACTAACCTGAAACCGCGGTAACATCTGGCAAATTATTCGACAATTTGTTTTTGGAACGCTGCAAAGTCCTTTCGAAATCCGAGACAGCGTCGTCGAAGGCATCTTGGCTTACGGGAAACTGGCTGCCGCTCGTCTGGATTATTTTCGGAGTTTCCTGCTCTTGGATCGGCTGGAGAAAAAAAGGTTATTTGTTTCCCGGTTATGATGGGGTTAGCGTACCTTGTAGGTTTGCTCCAGGACGGCGAGGACTGGAGGGGTGATACCGAGCAGGACTTCCATGGACTGCCTCTGTCGTCGTCGATCTTTCCGGCGCTTGATCGATCCGGTCCTATCGGCTTCCTGGCTGACAGATTCGCAGTATCGGACGAAATCCAGATCGATGTGGTAGCCATACGGGCAGCAGGAACAAGTACTGCCGTCCCAAATGTACCCTGTAATACAACAAAAACAAAAGGAAATTTAATTGGCCTGTCAGTGAGCGAGGAAACTTCAAAGACGACACAAAAATACTACTCTTCCGAGCAATTAATTCTAATATAGCTTCAAATTACATACTTCCAATGTGTGCTTTCTAAATTTACGTAGGCCCATTATCGTCCTCTAAACCCTTTGATATTAATGTCTACATCCATCAGTAAAACGAAGCAATTTAGACTCCTACTCTAAATTTAACTTTTGTCATTTACCGGCAAATTTAAAAACAAAATTACTCCGACTGAACATAAATCTACGGGTTTTGGTCCCAACACGCCCCTTTACACCTTCAAGATCTGTTTATCGTAGAACCTCCCCCAAAATTTTACAAAAATAAAATGACGATCTAATCGTTTCATAGACGATTTAAAACCACCTCTATTTACATCAACTTTGACGCCTCAATAATTGCCCATTTTATTACAGATTATCGCCATTATTGTTTATCTAATCGGTAGCACTTTAACAGTGTCGTAAAATCACAATACTATATTAAGGTTTTATTGATTCTCACATTTAGTAAAATATCACATATTACCAACATATCATTCAATATATGTATAACCCAGTTGGTGTAAACATCGTTTCGCAGTCATAACACCATTAAAAAATGAAATGCCCCATACATTTGAGTACAACTTTAATGAGGAACAGATGTGTCATTAAAAAAATCATCCACGTTAGATATTATTGTGTCGGCATGTGGTAACAATGTTCCCACGGTTTGGTTTGACGTCATCAAAGCCATCTAGACAAAAGCATACTGGGCTAGGTAATAGCTGACGTTTTTCAGTATTTTTAACGACAATATACACAAATTACTCCATTTTAACTATCGTGTATATTTTTTTAATATGAAATTTCATTTATCAGTTGTGCATTTTTCCTACACTTTTTGTATGCATCATCAATTCTTCCGTTGGTGTTACTTATTATATCTGACAAAAGTTAGCTTAATTTGATAAATGTCAAATGATTATTTTCTTTGTAAGTTTATTTTTAATTTTTCCAACTTGGTGTATAGTGTGTCAAATAATGTTTACTACCCTCCTATTTATGAATAAATATCTGCACAAAAGCGAGATGAAGATGAATCAAGTAAAGCAGCATCGAAAATTGGGACAGAACAGGTAGACAAGAAAACAATAGAAGGATAATCAAGATTATCTGACAGAAGTTCATCCATAAAAATTAGGTGGGCTATTTCTATTTTCCAGGACTATCCTGTTGAGAATATTAATAATAGTATCCAAACTCATTACTCTTACTTGAGAAACTTAAAGCATGTTTAAAATGGCAAATTTTGTAGGAAAAACCAATTTTACAATTACGCCCCGCCCCTCGGTCTGACAACGAATGAAAAATTCGTCACGACTGAGATCGAGACAGATGGGCGGAGTTTACTTTGGCTTTCTTCTTTTATACAATTAGTTTTTCTTTCAACACGATACTCAAAAACATGTTTTTAATTCCCCGTAGAGAAATAAGGGTTTTGCAATTATGATCCCCCCTTGGCTCACGACGAATAAAACAAATCATCACAATTGAGATAGGGCGAGTGGGCGGGGCATATATTTTGATTTTTTTCTTAATAGACGTAGCCATCTTTTCACAACAAGAAACTTAAAACATGGTTAAAATGGTACATTTTCCAAGAAAGTATGAATTTTGCAATTATAGAGCGGAGCCTAATTGCAAAATCGATCTTTCTTTCCACAAATTTACCATTTTAAAGATGTTTTAAGTTTCATCATGTGAAAAGAAGTCTACACATATTAAAACAACAAGCCAAAATGTAAGCCCGCCCACCCACCCTGTCTCAATTGTGATGATTTTTTTTATTCGCCGAGAACCAAGGGGGCGGAACTTAACTGTAAAATATTTGTTTCTTTACAAAAAATTAAAAACATGTTTTTGAATATCGTGTTGTTCAAAGAATACTATGTAAATTATGAAGAAACAATCAAAATATAGACCCCGCCCACCCACCCAATCTCAATTGTGATGATTTTTTATTCTTAGAAACTTAAAACATGTTTAAAATAGTAAATTTTGGTATGTAAACGTGGAGTTTGGAATTAAGCCCCACCTCTCGATCTGACAACGAATGAAAAACTCACCACAATCGAGAATTGACATAACATGTTTTTTATTTTCTTGTCGAGAAATAAGGATTTTGCAATTATGACCCGCCCCCTTGGCTCACGACGAATAAAACAAATCACCACAATTGAGATAGGGCGGGTGGGCGGGGCTCATATTTTGCCTTTTTTCTTAATAGACATAGCCAACTTTTCACAACAAAAAACTTAAGACATGGTTAAAATGGTACATTTTATGGATTTTGCAATCATGGGGCATAGCCTAATTGTCAAATTCATATTTCCTTATACAAATTTACCATTTTAAACACGTTTTAAGTTTCATCATGTGAAAACAAGTCTACACATATTAAAATAAAAGGTAAAATGTTAGCCCGCCCACCCGCCCTGTCTCGATTGTGATGATTTTTTTATTCGCCATGAACCAAGGAGGCGGAGATTAACTGCAAAATATTTGTTTCTTTACAAGAAAATAAAAACATGTTTTTGAATATCGTGTTGTTCAAGGAATACTACGTATATTAGGAAGAAAAAGGAAAAATATAAACCCCGCCCACCCACCCCATCTCAATTGTGATGATTTTTTTATTCTTACAAACTTAAAACATGTTTAAAATAGTAAATTTTTGTAGGTAAATACAGATTCTGGAATTAAGCCCCGCCCTATAATTGCAAAAAGAAAAAAGGCAAAATATAAGTTTAATATTACGTAAGAACATGTTTCACATGGTAATTTTTCGTACAAAAATAAGGATTTTGTAATTAATCGCCGCCTCTCGGCTTACGACAATTAAAAAAAAATCATCACAATTGAGACAGGGCGGGTGGGCGGGGCTTACATTTTACATTTTTTTTAGGGGAGTATCGATTTTGCAATTACGCTCCGCCCCTCGGAATGACAACGAATGAAAAATTCGTCACGATTGAGATCGAGACGGATGGGTAGGGCTTATCTGTTGGCTTTCTTTTTTACATAGTACATTTGGTTTTCTTTGTATAACACGATTACTTAAGAAGGTGTCACATGGTAATTTCTGGTAGAAAAATATTTTACTTAATTTTGGAATTAAGTTTCGCCTCGGGCTTACATAAAATAAAAAGATTCGTCAGAATTGAGATAGGGTGGGTGGGCGGGGCTTATATTTTGCCTTTTTTTCTTAATATACGTAGTCTTCTTTTCACAAGAAAAAACTTAAAACATGTTTAAAACAAGAAATATGGATACTGTAATTACCCCCGTCCCCCGATCTGACAACGAAGGAAAAATTCATCACAATACATATGATTAAAAAGAAAATTGTAGATAACGTCATCAAATTTTGGGAGAGAAAAACAGAAAAAAATTCTATTCTTAACATTCACACAGGTCAACAACAACTTTTCAATTTTTTACTTTCTGTAGTACCACAAAATAGGTCTCCCATTTCCGTCTGTTGTCTGTTGGTAGAGAAAATTTCTGAAACTACTGGGCTGATTGTGAATCTGTATTTTAGGAATATCGTGCAGACAGTAACCAAAATTTGTCTGATCATCCTTAATAAACAATCTAATAACTTCACAAACTTTTGTATAATAAATCCTTACTTAAATTTAATAAACTTGTGATTTGAGGTCCAGATTTTTGAAAAAAAAATCAAAATTGTACAACATTTCACAATTTATAGCCAATGTTTTGAGATTATTATAAAGATGGTATAGTCTTACAAATTTTGTACCGGTTTTATGATGACGTCATCTCAAAATTTTGCTGGATGTGTAAAATTCAAGGACTTAACTTTTCAACTTTTGTTCTTTCGAGAAGGAAAAAAACGTATTGTTTTAAAAAATTGCATTAATAATTAACAATATGATTTATGGAAGTCTATTCGATCCTATAAAATATCCTACTTCACATTAAAAAATCTAATAAAAGAACTGAATCGTAAACAACTGCGGCGATAATGAAAGAGATACTAGTGTAATTAATAATTTTATTTGTTTCACTCCAATTTATGAGAAGGTCAAAAGTAAAACTATATAGTATAATAGCTTTTTTACCTTTTCTAAAAGGTTATTCGTGTGTAAGAGTTCAATTCTTGCTGTATATGTTTTTGATATAGTCAGTATTTTAAGTATGATTAAAAAATTTCAGGGTTGTATTTAGGATAGTTGCCGCTAAAGTATTCGATTGTTGAAAGTCAACTACATACAACGCAAACAAGTGTTGATATTCAATATACACACAGATAAATCCGCTGTAAAATAAAACAAATCCGCCTCTGTTCATTATTTACATCTCTATATTTATGGTTTTATAGACTCTTAAATTTCAGATTATACGTTTTTATTAGTATACAAAAGTAGTGTTCTTACTGTATACAGGGTCTCTCAAAACATTTTTGTCAAACATTAACTGACGTTTTCAAATGAAATACAGTGAAACAGTAAAAATAAGAACACGATTTGTCATTTTTGCAGAGTTATCTAAAATCAATACTGAATACTGCACTACAACGAAAATGTGACACTGACTACCAAAGATTAAATTCAGATAACAGCGTACGAATTATCTCTCAAGCACATACGATTTGAATGAAACTTTTAACGACGCTGTATATAAAATTTGAAAATTCCAAAATTGCGAAAATCGAAATATTTTGCAACAGTTAAAATTATTAACAGCTTTTAGTTACATTTTTTCCAAACACTGCCTAGCTGATTTCGGTTGTATGTAACAGAATTAGAGAAAGTGTCGTCTGACTCGGGGGCGTAAACCGATACCGTCATCTCGCTTTTTATTTTCGTACCATGGGACATCTCGACTCCCCATCTACCCGTAAAAGAATGATTGATTATTATGTGGCATTACAGTTAAGAAAAAACACTGCACGCCTGTCATTATTTGATTAATGAAGTTAAAATCGTGGAAGAGTCGAAGTAAAAGTGTGTGCCATCCCGAGATAATCTTAACTATCTCGTTGTAAAATTAGACAAAAGTCGATGAACTTTAATAACACAAAGCTAAATTAGGAAGGTAGACAAAAAATTATAGCAGTATTGGTAAGTGGGCGTTTCGTTAAAATAGAAATCAGGCTGCAGCCTAGTAGTAATTTTATCTAAATTGTCGATAAATGAAGCCGCCGTGCTTTTGTTAACCTCATCTCATGGTTATTTATATGTGCGACGAATTATTCAATTTAAAATTAACCATGATCGGCGAATAAACAAGAGAATTAATTGACCCCTGGGACTAAAATGAGGACATCTCTAAACAGAGTGGCCAAACGATTAGAAAGCCATCACACCTGTATACTCTTTTATCCAAATATTGACGATCCGGAGACAAATAAGTACACACAAGTAACAAGGATATTGCCGCGGTAACGATATTTGTAGCGCAACTCTTAATTAAGTCATTAATTAGATTTACAACCAAAAGAAGAAAAGGGAAAGTTCGTCTCTACCAATTTTCACGAAATCAAGTTAATTAGTTTTCGCTTGAACTAGATACTTACCATTGTCATTGTTCGCCCTTAAACCCTGCGAGTACGACATCCTTAACTATCTTCCAGAATTTGCACAACTAAAACAAAAATAGGTACACATCAAAACTCTTTATCAGAAAAATCAATATGATAGTGATTGTTATATCATGTTTATAGTACTGATAACGATATTTAAAAAAGACTCGGCGCTTGTTTTAAACGGTGGGCAAATTTACACACAGACAAAAAACCTCATTTTTTATTCTCACATATGAAAGTCATTTACCTATGCTATTTTTACTCTAATGAATGAAGCTATTTAAAATCACATTTTTTCATTCTTATTTTCTTCAGTTACTATAATTAAACGCCTCTGAAAGGTTACAGCACTTAAAATACATTTATTTCCATTTTTATTTGCACTGGAATAGAGCATTCGGCGCAATTTACAACACATTTAAAGGTCGTTGTTACTCTAATCGATTCAGTTACGTCAAAAACTCCTCGCATTCGTACTTCGCTCCTAATTGTTAATGTTAACACTGTACAAACATATTTGACCATTAGTATCCTCCAAGCCCACCCGATTTGAAATCACTAGATGTTTTCGAAACAAGCTGGCTATCTAAAAACACGAAATCATTTAAATTCTAGAATTAATCAGGTAGTGAGCAGTATTGTTGCACGTGTGCAGAATACCAACTATTATGGGTGGTTTTCACTTTGAATATCTATTGTAATCATCAGTTAGAATGTAACTCGATTCATTGCTGGCTCTTTGAAACGTTTTGTTAGCAAATTGGGTTCATTTAACATCTGGAGGATGATGGCCTGGGGAAAACTAATGATGGGGAAATTTGTACTAGCTTCAGGAAGACATGTTTAAACGTGAATGAAGCTAGATCCTTCCAACTTGGCATTCAGTTTTTACACCATATAGTATGCAGATTCAATTCTTTCTCGACCCACGTACATATTTGCATGATAAAATTAAGAAATATGGACTATATAATCAATGTGTATCCCACGGGTCAGGTCATTATAACATTTGATGACATTCTATAAAGGAGTTGGTTGCGGTATGAATAATGTAACAATAACCTACGCCTTATTAAGTTTTTGTCATTGACTAAGGCAGCACCCTAGCGCCACTTTAGGAACCCACAGGATCACATCATCAGAATTTTTGGCGACAAAAAAACCTAACGTCACGTCAAAAATTGTCAAATTTTTGACAATTTTGTTTGTCCCCTGTCACCCAGACACTAGGTTTAAACACTTTTCCAAAATAAGTATCGGCTTTGTAGCGAAAACATGTCGGCAAATTTGATAACAGATGATAATAAGAGTGCAAATACAGTGTGAAGGTTTATAGTATTTACATAATTCTGTAAGTACTAAATATTTGTCCTTTTCGGTACTCAACAGGTGCAGATTCTCTAGCGACGATAGCCATATAGGGTTGCCACACGAATTTAGTACACCTATAGAAGAATCTATTTAAATGTAGTGTGTTTACGTAAATAGCACGCTACCGCTTCTAGCAACAATAACATCAATAAAAGGTATAAAACTTTGGTTCTACGACATTATCATCGCTAAAAATAGCATTTTCCAAACAGGTATTCATTTAATTATTTATTCGAATAGAAAAAAATATCACGCAATGCACAATCAATTAAAAATGCTTCGAAATATTAACAGATGTGCATATAATATACAAGGAAATCAACAAAACGCCTACCAAATTCCAAAGAAGTGAACTTTTCAAAAACAACACAAAAAGCCGCGAACCCAAAACCAATTCGACACGACTAACTTTCACTTGAAAAAAAATAACAAAAGCATCGTGTTTGTAAACACTTTTAATTTATAATTTACACTAAATCACATGTTTCGTTTGTTTAATTGAGAGAAATGTCAACAGATACACTAATACGATACTTCTGCTTAGAACGATAACTTCGCAGTGACCAACGGATTCTGGTAAGAGATTTGAAGAGTACGCATGCGTCCAGCATCTTGCAACAGGTGATTTTTATCTTGGATTTATTTGAATTCGTCTAACCAAAATAAGACACGAAAAAGTAAATAAACAGAGCAAATTAGAGCAAAAAAATTGTCACAAAACGGGTACTCGGCTATTTGTGGAAGCTAAGCGGTAGCCAGTGAACGCATTATTTATACCAGATTCGCTGGATGGAGCGGATACACACCGTAATAAACATACACACTTCAAATATTTTTTAGCTCTTGGTGTCAAAACACTTTGTTTACATACTTTAATCATCTTTAATTACTATAATTATGTAATAAATATAAAAGGTGTGAACACAATTGGTTGCCGGTAACGAACACATTTAACAAGATGAACTAATTTTTGTGTAAACTATACTTTATTACATTTAATGTACATATAAAAAGTGTAAATTCTTGTACCTTGGTTATATCTCACTATATAAATACCTGTCCCTTTTATCATTGTCGACAAATTTGTAAATTATCATTTATTTTACTGTACCCGCCCCTCTACTTCCCGTTTGATTCTAAACTGAAGACAACGCATTTTTAGAACGCTTTGTCTGTGCCTGAGTTATTACAATTACATGCATCGAGTGCCATCTGTTGACAGAATCCCGAACTTGACTACAAACGTGTTAAAATTCTACACTATATCACTTTTTTCGAGCACACTTTTTATTATCCCGAAGCAAGCGACCCTCAACTCCTTCTAAAACCCAATGATGGTCAAGTATTTCTAAAGCTTCCCATTCTGCCTTAAACGGCGCATTAGCATCATTTGGCATTGTGATTGCGGCTCCTGACATTTGTTCTTCCATTTGTTTATTCTGATCTGCAGCTATAAAACAACTTTTGATTTGATTCTCGTTAAAGCTATACTCGGTACCATTATTTTCCCCCAGTACTAACGTATATATACTTCTTAGGCCGAACACGTTTAAGAAATACCAAGAAGCTGAAGAAACCCATGATGCGTCAAGGTGGGTGAGTTCTATGCCTCGTTGCAACATCGACTTAAATCGCAAAGTTAGAGGAAACGGAACTTTAGCTGAAAATTTTGATAAATAAAGAAAAATTGTGTTCTATACGATTTACTTGTTATAAATCCAGAAAACATCCAATTAATCCAGCCGCCTATAATAATCATCGGTAACACGTTAGTCAAGTTACCCTTCAACATATCAGTCATTAAAGTCGGATCTGTCATTAAATTTTGCGTTGAAGGTGGCCGCCTTCTCGTCAAGTAACCATCCCCATCTTTATTGAAAGCCTGTTTTCTTAGAATAAAGGCCGCTTTTGGTATGAATTTGGCATTTTCGCGCAAAACTCGCGCCCGTACCAATATCTGGCTGCAATTTTTTTGTACAGTCAACGAATCGACAACAATAATGTCATACCTGTCCCTTAGTTGGTTTTGATCAAGTTTTTTCTGCCCACTTATCAAAAGTGATATGTAGTGGCGCAAAATTCCAACAAGAAATGTTATAACAACGATGGGCAAAAAAACCCAGCTGCGAATTTGAGAATCCACCACTAGATCTGCAGACATAGCGGTAACTAGACTCGGATCAATATAACGAGAATAGAAAATGATTTCATTACATCATTGCGTGTTTTATTGTTAGTGGAACGTTCTGTCACATTTCTAAGTCCCGTTCGAGTCAGAATTTATTAATAATTCAAAGAAAATTGGCGGCGGAAAATGAGTGAATTCGAAGTGGTGCGCGCCATCTCAAGGTAACTATGTATAGTTGGTTGCCTATAGTCACCACAGTGTGAATAAAATTATTGATCGTCAAATTAGGTTCTAAGTATCAAGGGCGGAATTTAAAACACAAAAATGTTCTATGTTTGTCAAGAAAATGTATGACCTGCTATCCCTGTGGAATATTTCATTGTCCTAATTTTTGTTATAAATTTAATTTTTTTAACTTGACGGTTATATTTGTCAGGTTTTGCATAAAAATCCACAGGTACTTACGTCTTGGTAAAGAAATGAAACATTTAAATTCTGTAAACGCCTTTGTGTTTATCTTAAATGTGGAACCAATCTCGTCAGATTGACAGTTCGTAATGAAAGGAAGTCCACCAAAGTAGATTTAAATTTATATTTAGCTTATTTTCTCGATAATATTCTTTCTCTCTCTGAAATACCAAGAGAAGGTATTCCACTTCATTTGCTATTTTTGTGTGATTTTCTTCAGTAACTTGATACTTTTTGCGAAAGTTTAAGCTTCCGTGTAGTCACTGTTTTGACATTAATTTTGTGTTAATAATATTTTTAATTTACAACAAGCCATACAACTGCTTTTCCAGTGTCTCAGTAAGAGTTGCCACATTAAGTACATTAGAAAAATCAAGAAACAAAAAATCTGATTTAAATTTGGCAACGTGGCTTGCGCAGTCACGCACTTAAACCGTTGAGTTTCACGCAGGTTATCAAAAGATTGAAAATTCCGCGCAAAGTGGGCCATTTCTTTTATCTCTGATTAAACTACAAGCACCGAAATTGTGATTTTTCTTCGATGATGTCATTTCATTGTCAAAGTACAAGCGGTTTAATCAGTGTTACGGCTGTTTTTATCTTGCGTTATTATCTTCATATATATAAATTATTATTGGAAGATCGAAATTTTCGTCGTGTATAAATGACACTTGATAGAGTTGTTGAAAAGCGTCAATTTTAATACGCAGAAATTAAAAGTGAGGTTAAGTTGTGTCGTTCCACGTTGTCAAAAATCAACGCCACCTTGACTTGAGATAAATTCTTGACTTTCCAAATTTTGCCGCGATTAAGGATGCTAACGCTCAAATTAGAACAAAATTCAGAACTATAAATCAGTATGTACCTAATTAATGAGCGTGTTTTGAATTAATGAACGTTAGGCTACGAAAAAACTCTGCTTTATTAGTGTTTAAACTTGTCAGGAAGTCGCATTCAATTGGAATGGGATATAAAAGATTTTATGTGAAGTGCTATCGCACTAAACAAATTTATGAAAAATCCAGCGAACTTCTGGCGACATTCTTAGGGATTTTATGATACTGTTAATTTTACAGTGAAATTGTTACTTAACTGTGGTTACAGGGAATATTTTTCTAATTTGTTGAAGTTAGTACTATTTAATTGTGTAGTGGTCAGATATTGAAATTTTCAGGTAAAAAACGTGACGTGACGTCAAAAAATGCCTGCTTGATTTCTTTGAAATTGCTTATTAATTTTTGCGTTGTCATCGGTAGTCGGTTTTAGTGTGTTTTTGTATTTTGTTATAAATAAGTTTTTATTTTCTACGTACTTAAATAAAATATGTATAGACGTACCTGCTTAAGCCCAAGATGCATTTTTTAGTCGAATGTAATAATTTATTCGAAATATTTGAGAAATTACGTAAGCTAATTAGGAATTGGCAAAATCTTCGAGCGCGCCATCAAATCATAAATAATTTTGAAGGTCAAGGATTCGGTACCCAATTTCACTTTTTCGGCGAAAAAACGCGTGCGTGGCGACTGTGTAGCGACTATTACCAGACTAAATTCATTCATAGTAGTATACACCTATAAGTGATACAATTTGAACTTGATGAACTGGTTGGGGCTTCTTAACCGGTAAATCGCTAAATATTTACTCACTCAATAAAATCACTAGTTTTTCCGGTTGTTAAATGACTTGTTACACTTGACAGATGTCTAGTTTAGGGTCATATCTCCCTCTGCGAAAACACAGGTGCTGATACATTTTACAAATACGAAACGTCGCGTCGGATGCTAAATTGTTTCGGTATCCATAATAAATTATCAAGATAAGTCGTTCTCGGAATTGTTTACTCCTAAAACGGTCGAGTCGCAATTAATTTGATTTTTTAATATTATAATAATCGATCGGTGCTGTGTGAACGCGGCTTTAAATCGCAGGATTCTTGAAAAAGAAATTCGAGTAATTGGCGTCCGTAATTACACTAAAAGAATCCACAATTGCAATAAGAAAGAATGGTTGCAAGAAGTCCCCAACACATATCCATTTTTGTTCAGTATGTACGCAATAAAATTTCATGATGGAATTCTTTGTAGTTATCCATCCAACTAAGTATAGCTGTTACAGTTGAGAAGCAACTATATGTTGTAAGAATGTGTACTAGATCAAGTGGCGATAAGTCGGGTCGGCTTGGGGTCACTTTGACACTTCTAGATGATAATCTGTCGAATTTCACTGCACTAATTTACGGATTTTGTCCACAGTGAGTTGACCTCACCGACTTAAAGGTAAACCGTTTTATGTTCTGTTCTTTTTGCACTAACGGGGTTAATTGCCATAATGGCAATATTAACGACCCTGTTGGCTATAGTAAAAAATGTCGTATGATGTGTGGTAATTATTCACTTTCTAGTCGTAGCAAGGATAGTTTATTTATGGAGTGTCTTTGCGTATTTTATACACGTTTTTGATTACCTAAATGGCTTTAATATTCGCTGCAATGGCAACATATGTAGAAACATTATTTCTATCACTCCTACATTCCAAATAACAGTAACTGATGTCGCAGATATTTTCACTCGGAAAATTAATTTCGTGCTTCCTTATCCCACATCGTCTCGAATGCTATAATTATTCAGTCAGCAAGTGATGTAGAGTAAAGGGAAATGATATTGGTCAAAACTGACAACGGACTAGTTCGAGAAGCTTCTGGTTTGCTGGATCGAGACTAAAAATAAGTGAAAATGACAGAGATGGGCGGACTGTAAGCAAACAGTCATACCCACATGTTTATCAAGTGTAGCTTCAACCAATCATTATGGAAGTTGGAAAATAATTGTGACTTCTCAAAAACTGATTTGTCTAGCAGCTGCATCGACGAATTAATTTATTCTTAAGACATTTTCTCTTTTTATAGGTGTCTCTGTCAAGCTTTAATAAATGTACTTGTTAAGTGTTTGTTTTATTGTATGCTCTCTATGATTCATTGGACAGATTTCCTTTAATTAATTTCAATTTTTTTCTCTTAAACTTATGACCACTTATTTTATATGCGCATTATAATTAACAAATGTAACGTTCTTGTTAACATTACGTACAGCACTAATTACTTAATTTCAATGATAAACCGACTAGATCTAGCGACCGTAGAAACGATCATTTTAGGATGAATCCGTAATTATGTTTATTTAGGTTTCTTCAGGATTCATTTCGAATCAAACACATTTCTTCGAGTGAGTGCTTACACACAAGAAGCGAACGGGAGCATTACAGACCTCTATAATACCCTTATGAAAAAGCATCAACCACCCTTTGTTGATTCAACAAGGGTTGCATCTTCCAGGGAGGTCGATTATCATCACACCTTTTGATACTGTTATTTTTTGCAACAATTGATTTATAGAGATACCGCCGGATTTTCTAGAGGGTGAATATTAACTCTTTGCCTCTTCGGACTGCAAGGGTGGCTCCCGATTCCCATTAATGAATAAAAATCACGCAACTTCTGCAAACGGTACACATTTCTGCCAACCGCCACTACCAATATGGGAACTTACATCATCTACACCGCAACACGTATAGACGACTAATTGTTACCTTGTTAAACATACGAGACTGAGTACGGTCGTAAATATTCAACAACCACTGAAAAATAAATACAATTATTACTTTTTTTCACAAAAATAACCATATTTGAACGTATCGAGCCTCAACGCTTAACAATAAATCATAACTTATGGGCGAGAATTCCGTAAATTTTCACTGGTGCATATACAGGGTGGATCAGCATTACATTCGAAATTTTACCAGCATATTTTCTGAGCAAAATTAACTCAAAAATTCTCAGATTCTCGTAGAGCTTGTGTTCCTGAATTCATTAATGTATCACACTTAAAGCACCCATATTGCGCCACTGTTCTCGATTCGAACGCATTATGTTACGAACACACATTCTCGGGTGAACGGTCAAACAATTTCTCCAAAAGTATGAACATAATGATAAAACACAATGTTGTAACTGTTTCTATAGTATTGGAATGTCCAATATTAATAATAAAAAATATAACAATACCAGTAACAGTTATACCATCTACACTATACTTCCATCAAATATATAAAATTTGACAACAATCTGTCCAGTAGTTTCGGAGATTATCTGCCTAACAAAAATCGAGACAGACAATATAATAAACACTTTTTCGTACTCTAGGGGTCATGAAAGGTCTAGAAAACATGAAAGTAGCTGTTCGCCGATGAAGACTATTCGAGCTTCAAAAAAATCTTATAGATTTTCAAAAATGCAGCACAAAATCTCATATTTTCCTGCCTGGCAATAGCCTCCTTATTAGACGAGATATCGTTACATCGTAAACGCTGAATTTAATGACATATTGCATTCTAGACAAAAATAAAAATTTTAGTCTCCAACAAGCGGTCATATGATTTAAATTAAACAGGAACAGGACTAATAATAATACTAGTAGAAACTTATGGATTTTTAAAGAAATTGGTGCAACAATCCTCAAAACCACATGTTTTCTAAAAATCTGTTAAATTTTTCTATTCGTCAATTTCCC